GGGGGGACTGTGCCACCTGGGACGAGCGCGACCGGCTCGGGGTACAGAAGGGGCCCGGGCATGTACCGCATCGTATCTCGAAGGTACGTTGTTCCAGCAGTGCACGACATGCTTCGCAGGTGCAAGGAAAAGAAATAAAATAGAAACAAACTAGCGAACACATGAGAGGGGATCGACAGATCTTCGAACGGAGAACCCTGAGCGGAATCATCACCTCTCGGATTGATACACTCTTGAGGGAGCCACCCACTCATGCAAACTCGTCGGTTCCGGACTGTGCCTACGTTATCCCACCCCTCGATCTAGGCCTTGATCTCTTAACTTAGTGGCCTTTGTTGTTTTGGTGTTGCGGGAATTCGAAGATAGAGCTCGCAACGCGCGCGGCGCGTGGGAGTCGGTGAATTTGACTTGTACCGCCCGGTGCCCGTGCGTGGACGGGACATGTACAGCGCACGTCCGGTGCACCGCTACCATGCACGTCTTTGTTGATACCTGCCTGCCTGTTGCACCCTGGTCTGGGCCAAGCGATCAGACTCACCCAGGCTCTGAGCTGAAGAGCCAGAAGAAACATTTCCAGCGGCACGCGGCACCCAGAACCACGAGGCAAAGACATTCACCTGCGACAAACCTCATGGGCTGTGGTCTGTGTGAAATTCGAGATTGAGACATCAGGCTGTGAGAGGCAGCCCGGCCAAGGCAGCCTGGCCCAGAAATCAACACGCATGTTGTCTCATCAAATCGGATCTCACCAGAAAGAAGCCTTCTAGCCCTTCGGGGACTGGGAGAGTTGCTAGAGTCCAGACCGGTCCTTGGCCAATTGGCTTCGGCTGGCAGGGGACCTGCCCCAAGAGTCCTAATCTACATGGTGTGCACAGGGCCCCTACAATTCACACGCACTTATCTTGATCCATCCTTGCATGGGCGAGTGAGCCGTCTTGCTGGCTATCGCGGCGCGGACCCACGGAGAACATCCGAGCACGTGGAGTAAGTAAGGTAGGATCGACCTGATGGCAAGCAAGTTGCATATGGTTTCCTGGAGAGGTTGCACCGAAGGCGCCTATGCGCTGTGATCCTTGGCTGCAAGGCAAGGTTGGCCTTTGTCTTTTCCACCAAGCAGAGGAGGGGCTGTGCTGTCGCCGCCTAGGAAGGGGAGGGCGAGGGCATTTCCCTTCGTGGTCTTGCGTATGTCCGTCGCTGAGTTGGTTCAGCAACATGCGCCGATTTTCTTGGCACGCACGGTTCGCCCCCCAAAGCAAAGGGAAGCAGCGGTTTTTTCCCTCATGCCCAGGAATCTGAATCATTAGATGGAGAAGTAGAGATTCGAGAGGAAATATTGCATCTCGTTTTATTCCGATCTATCATTTTAATGCAACATACCCAATATCTTATTCAGCATTGATGACTACTGCACGGACAACGGCTACTGCCGACAATCCTTGGGCCCATCATACCATCCTCTCGTTAGGGTAACCTTGAGAGGTGGCTGCACGCTTCAGAGCAGAAGATGGGATGGGGTGCTACGTGCGGGGACTTCGAGGCCCGTGGAGGTACCTCGAGCAATGGGTGTACAATGCCCACCCAAGACCAGCCTGCATGGCCAAGGGCCTGTGCCGCTCCGATACCCTGGTGGCCCCGAATTGTGCTGGTTGGAGCCCAATGTGCAGGCACTAATACGGGATTGCTCACGCACACGCACGCTGCTCGCGCTCGGATTCCCGTTGTTCTCTCTCTCCTGCTGCCTCTATGACGCACAAATCTTGTGTTTTCGACGTAGTGTGGTGGTATGGATGAAGACCAGGACGAACATGGAAGTGATGATTTGCACAAGTAGTACTAGGCGATGGAGGGGTGCACCACTAGGAACCGATGATACCGAAACGAGACACATCTGGACGAGCTTGGCGGAAGATGCCGTGGCAATTAACCATTCTCGCTTCTTTTTTGTCCGCGCCCCTTTCAAGGCGCCTTTTTTTGCTCCTGACTCGTCAGACCAAGAAATTAAGATATGCCACAATTCCAGTGCTTGGTCAATGCAGAGGAGGGTACCAAGAGGAAGAAAAAAAAAGAAAAAAGAGGGCAGAGGAGCATGGCATTGCGTAGAGTGGGTAGGGACCATCTGGAGCAGTCCTCCTCATTTACATGAACAACATGCTGGATAGGTGGGAAAAGCAAAGTCGTTTAGACCGATTGGGGATCCAGGCCTAGGAGAAAAGAAGACCCAAAATGGGTGAGAAGCTGAGATGTGCATGAGCTGTCGGCGAATCCAACCAGTCTCGCCCCAGGAACCGCTGGTCAAACAGGCAGGTAAGTGTGGACGGTCGGCTGACTTTGGGGAAGTGGTGATGCAGCGTTCTTCCTTCCTACGTACATGGAGGTGTGAGCGACGGAGGTGGCGGCAAGAGCACCCGCCTGTGTCTCTCTCAGTCGTGACGGTAGGCGGTGGGTGTGGTGATTTTGGGAGTTCTGTCAGCTCACGACTGCAGAACCGCTGGACGGTGGGTGGTGGGGAAGGATGGGATTATCCGGCTCGAATCCCGGCTTCCACATGCGCAAGTACCTCCAGGTATCTCGCATCCAGATGCCCTGGTCCTCTGCCATGCCCTGCATCCCTGTCCGGATTCCACCTCATCAACAACGCAACAGGTACGGGCGGCCGATCTTCTTCGGGGTCGTGGACTGAGCGTCTTCAGGTCCCAAGCACCCTCCCCCATCTCTTTACACGACCTGTACCTGGCTGCAGCAGCATGGACAAGCGTGCCGCATGTGCCATGTTCCCAAAAGAGAGACAGCACGAAGTGTAATCTGCTTGGTGGCGTGCTGAACTGCACCTGGAATCACCCTCGTGGAACCCAATTGAAAGCAAGCAGCCTGCCCTATCCCTTCTCAGGCCAGAGCTTGGGGAGACAGGGATGTCATCATTCAGGCAGACAGGCAGCCGTGTAGTATCCTCAATCTGTCCGATGGGATACTAAATATTGAGATAAACTCTCTTTTAGCCCTATGGTGTGTTTTCAACAAGAGATTTGTAAATAATGCGTCGGGTCAAGCAGAGTAAGCCCTTGACAGCCAGCTGGCTGAATGGAGGAAGAGTAGCAAACACAAGCCAGCTGAACTGCATTGTCTGTCACTGACTGCCTTTTGCCAAGTACCTACATACCCAACGTTGCAGCTATCTGCCCAGCTCAAGCGGGATCGCTGGGGGCCTGGGCAGTTGATGACGGGCAGAGGCTAACGGGGCCCAGCTTCTCACCTCATCTCGTACAATCAATCACACACTGCCAACTCTATTTGGGCAGCCCCACGGATGAATAGGGAAATGTAGGCCAGCCTCTGATAGGCGATGGTCGATTTCTTGGTTGTCTCCCTAAGGAAGGTGGCTCGCCTTGGTCTGTCCCAGAGCGGCACCCTCTGCTGGAGTTGGATGGCAACTGGTTTCCCTGGTTGGAAACCAACGGCCTCTTTCGACCAGTACAGCAAGCTACATCAGCACGCATCGCATCGCTGGTGCGGGGCAGCAGTTGTGGTTGCACCGGCCCAGAGGTCGGAACTCCACAAAAAAAAGCCTGCCTTTGGGCTCTAGACCATCTGTGTATCTCTGTACCCTGCTGCCTGTGCTGGGCGCGAGTGCTCCGAGACCTCAGCTGGGCCCCCCCTTCGGCGTCGACGCTGCTTCTGCCCTGGCCACTGCGCCAGCCTGTGGAACCCCCCTGGGCAGGGTGGGCTCCAAGGGAGGTGGGTGTCAGCCCAGGGCACCTCGCTGGGACCTGAGGGGGTGTCACCAATGGACAGACCAGACGCTGGCGCCACCTTGACGGAGGAGCCCAGGGCCACCGTCCTTGCCTTGCAGCTCACGCACCACCCACCAAGCCCAGCCTGTCCTGGCGCCAGGCTGGACCCTCCACTCGCCGGCGCCCTGGCTGTTCGGATTGGCCCTGGCTCGGACTGTTGGCAGTTGGAGGGCACACCCAGAGGAGGTCCAGAGGGATGACTGCGACCGCTTTGCAGATGGCACCCTGGCCCTTGGTCCTTGGACTGGACTGGGCCGGGCCAGGCTGGGCGGGCCTGGCGTCCCCCTGTCCCTGAGCCAGAGACAGTCGCCCGGGCTGAGGAGAGGTTCAAGTCGACGCAAGTCTCCTCGTGTGCTGCGACCCCAGAGCCACAACGTTGTCGCCAGCTTCGCTTCCCATTGGGTGTTAGTGCCCACGCTTCTGGCAGGGAGATGGGGGGCGTCTTGCTGCTCCGATGGATCGCGTTGCCCGCTTCACCCCCAGCTGCCCAGCCGCAAGAGACGACATCACACGCCATCGCACAGACGCTCTCTTGCCCTACCGCACCAAGATGGCGGGTCGTCCATATGGCCATACATCAGCACTTACATGATGCCGGGGGGGTAGTTAGATTGGTCTGAGGAGGCCCGCGGGACAAAACCTACAAACATACGCCATCATCCCATCGTGTCCTTCCTCATCCGTGCCTTCCCTTCTACTACCATCTTCACCCTTCATCCTGCTCATACTTATTTGAGCTCGCCTCCCTATCTATCCCTTCCAGTGCCCTTGGCCACGACCATTGACGAGTGATCCCCCCCCCTTCACAATCGTCATCTACCATCCCACCTGTTAGTTGGAGTGGGTGGTGTCTCACGCTCCTCCAACCCTCGCTTCTCTGTGCTGCTGCACTACTTCGCATCACTCACCCTTTTCGTGAGCAACCCTCGAAGGCGAATCTTGCATATTAATAAGACTCCTCCAAGAGCCTGCTCTTGATGTCTTTGGCTTCACTATCAACACAAGGACATTCTTTACTGCCTGCTTTCTCTTGCTTTTGATCTGCCACCACACCCGACTTGGCTCATCTCTAATTGTATGTCGCTCGCTTACACACAACAATAACCACGAACATCGGTATTCCTTTGGACCCTCTCTTGATCGAATTCTCTGCTTTGCGCCCATTTCCACGCCTGATTCGAAGGACTGTCTTGTGCTTTTGCGATCCGACCTGCCTACGATGAGCTCATACACCCAGCCGCAATGGCCAACTTGGGCCTATACCCCCGAGGTCAACGACCCGTTTTCTGGCTATCCTCAGTATAACAACTACTCCTCATACCTCGCCGACTCCATGGAGGCCTACCAGACCCACCACCACCACCACCTTGTCCACAATCACCAGATGTCGCGCACCACCGAGTCTAAGCCTCGCCTTTCCAAGGAGGAGGTTGAGCTTTTGGAGGCTGAGTTCCAGAAAAACCACAAGCCTAACAGCACCGTCAAGAAGGGATTGGCTGAGTCAATGAGGGTCGACAATGCCCGTATTAATGTTAGTAACCTTTTGCGGTTGCGCATTCCTCGGCGAAGCCATATGATCTTGTGCTAACCCTGTTTGTCTTAGAATTGGTTCCAGAACCGACGTGCTCGTGAGAAGAAGGAGAAGAACATTCGCGAATATGAGGCCAAACAGAAGCTGGAGAAAGATCCGTCCCAGCCGGAATCTGGGGACTCGGCTGCGCACCGCAAGAGCGATCTTGTCGCTTCAAGCGCGCCATTCCCAAACACACAGACGGCCCCATCCCGCTCACACACTGGAACTCCAGATCGCTCTTCCAGCCCTGCTTCACTCTTCCAAGCCAAGGAAACTCCTGTGTCCGACAGCAGTGTCATTCTTCCAAGCACAGAGCTGTCTCCCCAGCTTTCTCCTGAGCTCACTGTCAAGCGAGAGCCCGGATTTGACGATGTCACTGTTGCCCAGTATGGCCACATTGGAAACTCCGAGTTACTGGCTGACAACGAACTCTCCCCCAATGCCCTCTCCGACAGCCACGAACAGGAGTTTATGCTTTCGGCCGGTGGCTCAGACTCTGGCTATTATATGAGCCAATTGAATGGATCGACTGGAGCGCCATTCCAGGCCTCTGGTGACTTTCAAACCGCCAACCCCCAGAAGCCCTCTCAAATCATTGATATCGCAGCCCGCAGAAACCGCCGCCCTCCTCCTCTGTCAATTAACAGTGGCTCAAGGAGCCACTCAACTGGCCTCCTGAAAACTGGAGTTGAAATGGGTCGACGACTCGACGTCTGTAACTCGATCCGACGAGTCGCCTCGTCCACTGGTCCCATGCGTGTTCAGAAGCCGGTGGGCACACCCCGTAGCCCTTTCTTTAGCAGGGCTGGTGACGGACTCCAGCTCAAGCGATCCCCAGTCCTTTCTGGAATCAAAGGCTCGAACGCACCACCAACTCCCGATACCCCGGTTGTTATCGCGACACAGTCTCTGGATTCTGCCCACCCAGACTCCGACTCCGACTCAAGTGACAGGTTTTCTGTCCCTGACATGGCCATCCATGATCCTACCCTGCGAACACCACCAACGACTCCAGGCGTCATGGAGGGATATTTCAGCCTCAATGCCGTCTACGATATGCAGATGCCATCGGATGGTCTGCTCACACCCAGCATGGCCACCTATTCCAACAACCTCGATGTTAGCAACGTGCCGATTGGTGTCCCGGCGTATATCGCCAACCCTACTGGATGCTCAAGCCAGCCAGTGACGCCATCTCTTCCCGCTCACACCACCGGTGGATATTTTGGTATCACCAACAGCAATGCCGAGTACCAATGGCCCGATCACTCCTCGCGCAACTCTTCGCCTGTCCGAGGTCCTCAGCAGCCTCAGTTCATGAACATGACAACATCGAGCTTCTCTCCTTCCGACAGGTAACGCAACCTGCAGGCGTTCCGTCAGCCTAGTTTCATTTTATACTTGCGTGAATTTTCAGCGTTCGAGTTCGTTTACACAGCTTTTGCCCCTCCTTTCAAAGTCTATACATGGATATCATGAGTATATGAAGGATTTGGTTGTTTTTCTTGCAATGTATTAGAGGATATACCTGTTGAAGGATTTGGCGCATGAATGGTGGGAAAATTAGCGAAATGATTTTATAGGAAAGTTATACTGCATTTGCAAGTGGATAAGAAGATGAACACGGGTTATTCAGTCAATCTGGACCTGTATTAATATTGGAACAATTATTTCTGACTACAATGGTTCTCTTCCTGTGATTACTGGCCTTCTTTTGAGGTAGATGGAAGGGATGGTGTTGACTATCTCTGATCGAATTTTGGCCGACGAGCTAGATAGATGGCAATAGTTCTAGGCCTCGTGTAGTCCGGTATGGTGTAGTGGCTAACATCGCTCGCTCTCACCGAGCAGCCCTGGGTTCGATTCCCAGTACCGGAGAGATAAGTGTTATTTTTTGGTCTTTTTTTCTTGCTCCCTGCTAGGCTGGGACCATAACATATGCTATCCACTTTTTCTTTTTGGCCTTAATATCACCGTGCACTGCTACAGGGAAGAGATGCTGCTCCTACAAGACACAACAAAAGATGTGCGGCATACACGCTGTTGTATCGCCACATACACCAGCGCCTCTTGACCCGAAAATTGAGCGTCTTCTCCAGCGAAGAGGCCCAGATCACACAGGAAATGTCACACAGCACCTTGCCGACCTGTCCTTGACAGCTTCGTTCAAGTCTACTGTTCTTTCGCTACGAGGTGATCATGTAGCTGAGCAACCCCTGGTGGATCCCGATACGGGAGCCGTGCTCTGTTGGAATGGCGAGGCCTGGAGAATTCATGGCCAGGCCGTGTGTCAGAACGATACTGAAGCGGTCCTGAGCCTCCTCGTAGCCGCAAGCCTCAAACGTCAAGACGGACACCATGACCTGCCCCTTGACCCAGTTCTAGAAGCCCTGCAGGATATTGAAGGCCCCTTCTCATTCATCTATTATGACAAGCTGGCAAAACGACTCTATTATGGACGTGACCGTCTGGGTCGGCGATCGCTCCTCCTGAGCAATGGCAGCTCGTTCATGCTCTCCAGTGTCGCGGAGGCCCTGTCGTCTGACTGGGTAGAGGTCGAAGCTGACGGGTGCTACGCCATCCAGCTGGACCAGGCTGCCTCGCCCAATACTTTCACTCCCATCAGATATCCGTGGAATCCCGACAACGCTATGGTAGGTGCTCGGCACATCGTTTTCTTGCCGAGATTCGCCATCCCCTTGCTACTAATAACTTCTTCAGGTGTCAAGCATTGGTCATTTTAATGCCTCCCTGCCCACAAAGCCATGCGAGCTTTCTCAGGACTCTCGGCCCGTCTGCGAGCTTCGCCAACAGCTAACGGAGTCTTTGAACTTACGAGTTCTGGATGTGCCCGTTCCACCGCACAGCTCTTCCTCTGATGCGAGGGTTGCTGTGCTCTTCTCAGGCGGCCTGGACTGCACCGTTTTGGCTCGCCTCGCAAGCGACGCTATGCCAACCGAGCAGCCCATTGATCTTCTCAATGTGGCGTTCGAGAACCCGAGGGTTGCCTCGAATCTCAAATTACAGTCGGTAGAGGACCTGTATGAGCTTTGCCCCGACCGGATTACCGGTAGGAAGGCGTTTTCCGAGCTTGTAGAGTGCTGCCCAACGCGCACATGGCGCTTTGTAACGGTATTTGAGTCCCTTTGGCTTAAATAAGACGCTCTATTTTTGCTAACGAGATTTGATTAGATAAATGTCCCCTACAAGGAGTATTGTGCACATAGAAGTGAGGTCATCAGTCTCATGTTTCCTCACAATACCGAGATGGACCTCTCCATTGCAAGCGCCTTGTACTTCGCGAGCCGGGGTCAAGGATCTGCTACTGTTCCCGGGCAGGCTGATCCCCAGCCGTACACAACCACCGCACGGGTTCTCCTCTCGGGACTGGGAGCAGATGAGTTGTTTGGCGGCTACCAGCGCCACAGTATAGCGTACACCCAAAGGGGGTACCAAGGCCTGGTGGAGGAGCTGAAGCTTGACGTCAGCCGTCTCGGGAAGCGGAACCTGGGGCGAGATGACCGTGTTCTCAGCCATTGGGGTCGGGAAGCGAGGTTCCCTTACCTTGACGAGAGGCTCGTCAGGTGGGCAATTGAGCTGCCTGCCTGGGAGAAGTGCAACTTCGATGTCTCGGGATCGGACTCGTCTCTTGATCCCGAGAAGAGGGTGCTGCGGCTTCTGGCCAGAAGTTTGGGCCTGAGATCCGTGGCTGGGGAGAAGAAGAGAGCGGTACGAGCACCACGCGAACACCCACACAATAAATCCCAGAAAGAACGATACTAATAAGCTCCCCTTTACAGATCCAGTTCGGGGCCAGGACAGCCAAGATGGAAAACGGAAGGGTCAAGGGAACCACATCTATTACAATCTAGACTAATTTACAGACCAACCGTGTCTCTGGGAGCAAGTGCTCTCGGGACATTGATATATTTTCGACCGGCGATGATGACCATCAACAGATACTGTTGAGTCGTTGGGATCATGTGACTGTGTGTTTCGCCTCCCCGGCCAAACCCTTCAATGAGACCCAGGTGGATATCCATTTATACCACACGACGACTTTGATGACTTTAAAGGCAAGTCTGAGCCGGAGCACGATATTTGCGATTGATAAGTAGAGGTGATCACCCTCTTGCCGCATGCGTAATGAATTGAGGTTATGATACGGATGAGAGATGTGATGGACTGGCCGATGGTTATGAATATGAACGTCGTATTATCTTTCCATTTAACGCCTAGCGCAATACAATAGACTACGATCTCTGATCATATGAAGCTGGACATGGTGTGCTGGCTCCTCTATCTCTATTAATACAGCCGGTGTTACTTATGAGGAATCCCATCTCATTGCTCCCAGGCAGACAGAAGTAGGAAAATATCTATCAATGCTTCCTTTTTCACAACAATATATGTCTCCTCCGAAGGAGATCCGCCTTTACTTAAACAGGCTCGATAATTTGCTTCCCCATGTTACTCACCATGAAGTGGCTGAATGCCCCTTCGTCGTTGTCGTCTTTGAGCAGACTTCGATCTTCAACCTCGGGCACGAGCTTGGCGTACATGCCCTGTCCTGCTCTGGGCCACGCCGGGGGCAGGGTGTCCTCCTCATTTTTAGTGAGTTGCAGCGGCATATCTTCCACGGCGGGGGCTGGTTTCTTTGCCTGCCTCTTCGTCCCGTTTCTGGCACTGGCGGTGTTCTTGATCTTCTGCTTGGCCTTAGAATTGAGGAGGCTGCGACCGTGGCTGGCCCGAGCGGATCCTCGTCTCGCGACCTTGCCCGGGGCTGAAGGGTCGGAGAACGGCTCGTGCCAGTCGGGAGATGCAAACATAGGTAGGTTCGGATGTTTCTTGGAGACTGAGACCATGATGTCTACGATCAGCTGGGGCTGGAGCTGGTCGCAGAATGATAGTATGTTGAGAAGGTCCGTTTTCCTCATATTCTGGAAGTACGCCGTGCGCTGTAGAGGTGGGCTTTAGTAGAAGAAACAAGGATAGTCAAAGCAACAAGCTTACAGCATGATCAGTCGCCGCGCCGGCCCCAAAGCCCACCAGTTCTGGCTTCACTGGGACGATCCCCGCGGGCAGCATGGCCAGGCGCTTTTGGCGAACCTTTTCTGTTCTCTGGTCTCGGTATTCCGCAGGCGCCCCATTCTGGGAGGCATTTGTGTTCTCGCATCGCTCGCATGTGAAGGTGGCTCTCTTTAAATCAGCCCTCAGAACTGGCGGAGACCAGCATTGTTGATGGCGCCCGATACCGCAAACTTGGCAGATGATGACTTGATTCTCCTCGAACGAGACCGAGGTGCGGCAGGTGGAGCATTCATGCTTGACACCGTTCGAGGGACCCATAGCAGGGCCAGGTGATTGGGAAGCTGAGGGGAAGGGCATCGTGCTCTGGCCAAAGTCGACTTCAGTGCTTGGCTCCGACTCTCGCTTCCTTTTGAGGCTTGAGCTGCTCGAATCGGCCACTTTCGGATGCAGCAGTGACTTTTTGAGGAGGGATGGCTCACTTGGGGTCGATAGCGGCGGGGGTTCTGGGAGCGAGGTTCCCTTGCTCATGCTCTGGACCAATTTCGTTTTGAATTCCTCATAAGCATCCTTATCCGATTCCGCAACCGCCGTTGAGAGATCCGACAGCGTAGAGTTGAAATTAGATCCTGTGCTTTTCATCCTGTTCAGAATAAAAGATGTTGCGGCGGAGAACTGGGGGACGTAGGGTGATGCTAGGGATGGCGAGCGCGATGTTCTGTCCGCCAAAGGCGTTGCGATGGCGTTGCTTTCTGGCCCCAATGAAGTGGGCTGAGGGGTAGAAACATCCCGAGAGTGATTAGATGTCGAATCCATCACCACGTCACCCCCAAAGTTGTGATTGCCTGGGGCTGAATCCATGGTGGGCGAATCGAGTTACGTGATCCTAGTGAGGAGATTGAAAAGGGAGTGACAACTAGGAAATTGAGGAATGCATCGAGTTTCGTAACGGATAAGCCCGTAAAATAGAAAGGAAACACTCCTCCACTAAATTACTGCCTCATGGGCGACTTAAGCCGTTGCAATTGATGTCGAATGTACTCAGCTTTAGATGAGGCAGGAATAGGACGATGTTGAATCAGGCACGTGCAGGTCACGTGATCACCTATCAGATGAAGTACCTCCCGACTTCTGAAAGATTTGCGACCTTGGAATGCGAAGTATTTGGTTTATATATATATTTTCCCTTTAGATTTGGAGAAACCAACTTCTACTATGTATCTTTATTTTCTAAGTTGGGTCTAACTCACGACAGCGGCTTCTTTCAGCGCGGCTATCTCGGATGCATCGAATCCAAGGCCCCCGAGTATTTCATCGGTGTGTTGGCCCAGCAGAGGCGGCGCCATTCGGACCTTGGGCTGGATTTCCGAGTACTTGACGGGAGTATTGACCATTTTTATTCTGCCACAGCTGGGGTGGTCAAACTCAACTACCATGTCACGAGCCTTGGTGTGGTCGTGGTTTAGTGAGTCCTGAACGTCGTTGACGGCTGCATAGGGCATCCCTTTGCCCTCGAAGACTTCGAGCCATTCTTGCGTCGTTCTCGATTGGGATATCTGCTCAATATCAGCCTCGAGCTCTTGGCGGTTGGCTACCCTGTCAGCGTTGGTTTTGAATTTCGGATCATCTTTCCACTGGGGATTTCCCAGGCCTTCTGAGAGGATCCCAAAGAGTCTGTCGTTGCCACCACCAAACAGGATATCGCCATCCTTAGTTTTGAACGATCTATAAGGAACAATCGAAGCTAGGCCGAAGAAGTAAAAGGGTTAGTTTCCCTCTGGGTAAGATTTGAAGAACTTTTGGAGGGGCATCTCTGCAAACTCACGGTGAGCTGTGCCCCAGCGGCCGGAATCCCTTTTGCCGCTGATGAGACAACTGCTGGCAATGTTAGCCAGAGTTGCCGTTTGACAGTCGCTCAGTGCCACATCAATGTGCTGCCCCCTGCCCGTCTTTGCCCTGCCAAGTAGGGACGCCATGATGCTGTTGCTGGCGTAGAGCCCGGTAGTCAGATCGGTGACGGCAACGCCGACCTTGACGGGTGGCCCCTCCCGATTGCCCGTGATGTGCATCAGACCGAACTCGGCCTCGACCATGACATCGTATCCAGCCCGGCTGGAGTATGGGCCCGTCTGGCCGTACCCCGTGATGGAGGTGTAGATGAGTGCCGGGTTTATCTTGCGGAGTGATTCGTAGTCCATGGAGTACTTCATCAAGGAGCCAGGCAGGTAGTTCTCTACCAAGATGTCGCACTGGGCGGCAAGCTTGTGAAGAATCTCCACGCCCTGGGGATGCTGGAAGGACAGGCCGAGGGATTTCTTATTTCGGTTCACCTGCAATGACAAGGCAAGGAGATGCCGTCAGCTCACATCGCCTTGACTGTCTGCAGCTTTCCATGCGTGGGGTCCAGAGGATGAGACAAGGCCAAAGAACACACCCCTAAGAAATAGGCAGACTCGCCTGGACCTTTAAGACCCGAGCCTGGCTTGTAGGGTGCGTACGGCGGGCCCCATGCCCTGGTGTCATCTCCCCGGACGGGATGCTCTATCTTGATTACCTCAGCCCTAGATGACTCGCTAACATCAGAATCACACTGGATAGAGAGAGGTGGGATGAAGGCCATGCTTAGTGCTGCCAATAGTATAGAACGAGATATGCTCACCCGAGGTCACCAAGGATCTGCGTGCAGTATGGCTAAAGAGAGTGAGGAGGCGCCGTCAGTGATTCCGGTACGACGAAAACAGATGCTCTAGGCTGGCGGGAATCTTTCATACACCTGCCAAAACGCGAGTCATATCCAAGACACGGTACCCTTCCAATGGCAAGGGAGTCGATGCGTGCTTATTGTCGATCGTGCTTCTGGCGCAAGGCGCACTACGGGAGAATGCACGTCGGGGCTCATTGGATGCGGTTCTAGCGCCCGGAAGGAAGCCCTTGGACTGCAAGGCCCTGCAGTTCCTTGCCGACAGAACAGGACCTCGTGGCATCAACATTGTGGCTTTGGAAGGGCAGTGTAGGAAGGAAATTGGCTCTTTACTACGTAGCGCCGGGATCCTTGAGCAGCGGACGGCTGTGGTTTGTGGAGGTGGTGGACCAGGTGCTGTTGGGCGGCAAGCGAGTGACATAAAACATGGCACACCAAAGCTTTGTTCACACAAGTCAGGGACCTTTCTTAACCACAATGCTAAACGCATGATAAAAAGATCAACAATTGGGTATTATTCTATAGTATTTAGCTGCTATTGTATTTATTACTGGTTAGTCGTTTTCATATTGTGTTGACCTTGTGTTGAAATTCAACGCTGGATGTTCTGTGTGTGCCATGTTTTATGTCAGTCGCCTGGGCGGCACGATACAGGGCTGTTACAGGGCGCGTAGCCGTAACAGGCGAGCCGCTGGCAAGGCTGCCCGGCCCAAGAGGAGCAGTATGTCATTGCCCGTCGCCGGACCTCGGCTGGTGCTCTCAATGCTTGGGTTTTTAATACACGGGCATTCTTCGGGTTTGCGACATCGACTGGGCCTTGCGACGGCGCCAATGTGATCCGCAGCCTTGTGAGCCAGAAGCGTCAAACCTGTTGGCTGTTGGTCGTAGAATGTTTGATGAACTGGGTGCAGGCGGTTAGGCACTGGGGCAGCGGGGATCTGTCACCAACGGTCAAGTACCAGCTATTACGTTGGAATCGACGGCGGCAATGCCCTGCTTGGATCTGCATGTTCCATTTCAATTGCTTGCCCGATCTTAAGACCGACTCAGGGTTCCAATAAGCTTCTGTGCCAAGGCCTTTGAGCCCAGGTTCTGCGCCCGGGATGGGCAATATTTGCTACCTGCATGTGCGGCAGTGTAAAGACGGGGATAATGCTGGCTGCTGAAGAACAAGTTTGCGCGATATGCAACAGAACTCCTTCATTATGCATTTCCAGTATATATAGAACTTAGAAGCCGTTGCGCCGATTTCAGGGCTCACGCTGCATGCCTTAACACTCACCGATGCCATTCATACATGTCTTTCCACGCAGGCAGATCATTGTATCACCACCCAGACGAAGGGATATTATCCGATGTCTGACCAGCGAGAGGTGATCAGCTGTCTGCCTTACTTTCGGCGAGTCTGATAATATTATGATATAATAATGTGTGAGGCAGAAGAATGAGAAATCGAGTGTGCAGACTGGGTGGGCCGGGAGGATAATACTGCAGCAGACACATCGCAATAACGGTCCCAATCCGGTGCTGACGATGCGGGAGGTGGCTTAGAGCTGTCTCGCAATGCTCGGGCGCCTGCGGGTAAAAGTCAAGATTCACGGTCCTCCCCCGCCAGCTCCACCCAGGCATGTCCGTATGGATGGATGGTTGTGGTAATATGTCTGCAGACAGGTTTGGGGGCCGTTAAAATCAATGCCAGAATGCATACCCCGCTTCAGCCGGTGTGTAGGAGGGTAATCCCAATGTTACCCAAAGCTTGGTCTCATTGCCATTACGCCGCAAATGTTCTCGGAGTCTTCTGTAGGATTAGATCGATGAGGAGGGCGACATTCGGGAGCAGCGAAGGGCATTTGGCGAGATACGACATGGCATGATACGCCAGGCTGTGCTCGTTGGCCGCTTGCGTGCAAGTGGTAGGTACAAAGGGTTTAGGTGAGGAGAGGTGAGGAGAGTCTGTTGGTTGGTGCACATTGGCCACGGTGGATGCTGGGAGTTGCCCCAGACAGCACATTCCATTCCATGCCTCCCGCTGATACCACGCATTCGGGTGAGGGCATGACAGATAACTATTAACTACCAACACGACATATACGCAAGCACGGATCATATCGTGACTGGCTACTGGTGCGTTCAGCATCTTTCAGCATCGTCCAGGACCTCAGCCGTCATGGGCGATCTGTCGCACTCTTTCCCAAGGCGGGTTAAGGCCTGCTCAGCCTCGCCATCTACGAAGTCAAAAGCCTTTCCGTGAACGCCATGTTTCTCCCATCCCTGTCCCGTGTCCCCAGCTCGTGGACTTTGTCGCCAATAGGCAGAGCGGCGGACCGACCAATGCACGCCAGTTTGCCTATTATAGACCCTGGCGTATCGTATCCATGGCCCTAAGGCCCCTAACCGGCTTCCCCTCCCTACATATGCGATGTGATGCGACGCAGACAGGCAGCTCGATGCAGAAAGAGGGGACCGATGGGCAGAGACATGGGCCAGACATTTCTTCATGCATCCCACACTCTTTCCGATATACGTAGCGCGCTCCAAATTTAGCCCCAGTGAGCTGCCAACAGCCTGGCTGCAGCCTCCATGCGGGTTCAAAAGACTGACAGCTGCCATGTTTCTGACAATCTTGAGTCTGCCCGAATGCTGACACAGTGACTTTGCGTATAGTTCAATTTCCATCACCTCTCCTTGCTGTGCCTATTCATCACTATCGCCCTTGCCATCGATGTCCCCCTGAAGACCAGCCTCATTTCTTCTTTTTCTTGTTCATCTGATATCACGATAGCAGTGTAATTGATGGACGACCCCCGAAGGACGTGACCGTTGGACTTACACCGCTCTCACCACCTACCGATCATCGAATATCGCAACCGTAGATATGGCCCCTACACACGACTTCGTGGCCAGTTTGGCAAGTAGAAATCTAAGCTCGCTTGACTCTCCGAAATCAATCGGTCTCGTCGTATTCATCGCAGTTGCCGGAGCAGCTCTCCTGGGCCTCGCCATCTACCTCACCGTACGGCACCTTAAGCGCAGAAAGTACAGACAGGTCGCCCAGATGGCCCTCTCCCCCAATTCCACCACCGAGTTTGACCTCTCCGTCAAGAAGCGCCCGACGTTCCACGTTGCTCGGATCAGCGAGGACCAGGAGCTCCAGAGACAAGCCATGATCCAGAAGTCGCTCGCCAGCCGGACGTCCTCGCGTGCTGAGAGCCGCAACAGCCTTCTCCTCCAGGAGAGCCGCAACAGTCTCATCCCCCAGGAGACTCACAACAGCCTCTTCCCCCAGTACGAGGAGGACGAGCGCGAAGTCCGCACGAGCCGCTCCAATTCAGCAGGGAGCCTCCGGGACGAGTGGAAAGAGTTCGAGGCGAACCTCCAGAGGAATCGATCTCGGTCTCTTGTCAACCACCCGGGCCTAAAGACACCTCATGGGCGCAGTGACAGCCAGAGCAGCGAGTTGAGCGTGCAGACACCCGCCACGGCTGAGCTGCGCAGCCATCCTATCCACCCGTCCCCCACGAGCAAACCCGACTGTGCCTCCTTCCTGCCCGTCGATATCGAGGTCGGTCACCCGCAGCACCCGATCCACTCGGGAAGTCAACCTCGATCGCATAGAGTCAGCTCTGCCACGCTACCACCTCCCCGTCACTCGATATTTCCACCAGCAAGTGGAGGGCAGCAGCATCAGCGCCGGGTTACCTTGCAAGAACAACAGCTGAGAGGACAGGCTTGGATTTGAGCAGATATAATGATACCCTAAATAATGAGAGCGTTAATGACTGGAGTTTCAGTTTCTTGTTTTTTTTTACCTTTATTGAGCGCGGGAAAGGATATATGGCGTTGAATGGATGGGATCATCGTCTTCTGGAATTCTTGGAGATCTATGTATCTGAAAGTCGGGGAGATAACCAAAAGGTATCTACTACACGTTTCAATATCATCCACATCTCACCGAATTTCGTCTCTTCTTTTCGTTCTGTAACCTAAGTCTTGGATCCCATCCCAGTCCGGACCCACAAAACTATAGTGAGGGTTTCCGCCTGGAACATTGCAGCGCATCCCATCATGCCCCCCGTCGTCACCATTCTAGTTTTGAGCCTTGTAAATATCAGCAGCTCAAGTATTACAAAAGGCCTAAAGAAGAGTTCCAGTGTAAACTATGTAGAAAAATTAAAAAAGTTTTATTAATTCTCTAAATAAATACAAGCCACATCCTGCATAACTTTTCTGGCTCACCTACATCTATGCCTAGAGATCTATTACTGGTGACACGCAACAACAATAACAGCAGCCGCAAACACGAGTCTACAATCAGGCAGCACAACCTATGGGAAATCTAGACTTACCTAGGTAGATTTAAAAGACTCTAGTATTATTGCCTTAAGTCGGAATAGTCGTTTCCCATCAAAAAAGCGAGTTCATATCGAGACAACCATCTACGGTCAAAATTTCACTTATGGATACCTAGGTAAGGTGGATATGATTTTGTGCTCCTTGTTTGCATCCTTGGCAAACCGCCTGAAAATCAAACAAGTACGATCATGAGAGGGTCATGGCGCAGACGTTGCAGTGCTTCCTCAATGGCGGCTTGGTCCAACATCCGGAAGTAGCCAACTCTTTCGTACCGCTGCACCAAACTCGCGATTGCCTGCACCACAATGCCGTGAAGTTGTCGATCAGCAAAGTAGGGATCAACATGGGAATTCCTAAATGAAAAAACAGCGAGGCAGAAAAGTCCCGCATGGCTCTCATTAGGCATTGTGATGTCGGGATAAAAGGTCGCCTTGGAGGTGTCGAGATTGAACAGCGGTATTTGAAGATATAAAACGACAGTTCGGACAGCTTCTGGAGTCGGCTCTGGCAGAATAGTCACATACAGGCCGAGATCTTTCCAAATGCCCCTATCAGCCGAGTCTGAGGATACTCGTACACGCAGCCAGTGCGAGATGGGCCCGTCAACCGAAGCCCAGGACCAGGTGGGAATGTCGCGCCTGGGCCTCCCTTTGGGTTGGCTTGATCTTTTAAGCATCCAGAGCAGGTTGAGAGCGAACACCTCCTTCCAGAGCCCCGCGACGAAGTGGCATGGGACGAATCTTGCCAGGCCTTGGATGGCCACGAGCCTGTCCGTGTGGTTGGTCAGGTTGCGTTGAGAGTAATTCTCGACAACCTCATACCAGCAACCGTGGAACTCGATCTTCTCCTCCAACGACGCGCCCTTGAAGTGCACGAGCATTTCAAAAGCGCCACGCATGCCCATCCGAGCCGACTCGATCATCTCGCATCACCAAGTCCTCCACAAGAAATACTCTTGGTAGGCTTTGAAGTCTCTGAAGACACTGACTAAGTCGGAGAAGTCCAGAAATTCAAGCACGTTCAGGGAAAAACTGGAGTTCCAACGCAAAACGTTTCCGTTGGCACGTATACCCCCACGATCCTGTATTGGCCACCAGGGCACTGTGTCGGTATTGCCTAAGAGTCTGGATACTTCGGTTCGCGTCCTCATCACGGCGTCCCAATCTATCTCGTTCTCCCATGTGAGTATGCTTTGACCTAGTATGTCTGGAATCTCAAACCTCGGAACGCGAAAGGAGGGTAGGGAGGGCCGAGGGGGCCTTCTCGGGCCGAGCGGGACTTGAATTTTACCGTCCAAGCGGAAATGCTCCTTCTTGGGGTACGGCTGGCCAAAGCCATGACTGCTCGAGGCTTGCATCTCATTGCACTCGAATAGGACGAGGCCTTCGCAAAAGTGCAGGATCCGACTCGCGAGTACGCGCTCCTGGAATGCCCATGCCCGCGTGGTCAGCCGTGTCGACTCAACCTTGTCCTTGAACAGGTCGGCCATGATCATGTCATGTCTCGTTGACGGGAAAACATCCAGCGAGGTGTCACCCTGACGGCCCAAATGGCAGCCGCCCGCGAGGGACATCTTCGGAAAGAAGCAACCGCCTTGTGAGTCTGCGGAGGCTGTTGCTGATAATACACACGTCGCGTTTGCGTAGACGAGACCCATGGTTGGAGCTTCCTTCAGCCAGTCTTCTTGGCCTTCCTGGCGTTGGATGATACATAGAGCGTCGATCCACAGATATCGAATTCCGAGCTCCCTCGTAATTTTGATGGCGTGATGATAGTTCTTGTCCCACGTGGAAAAACCAGTGGGCTTCTTCATGTCGTCGATGTTCTGCTGGAGCAGAAGTGTTTTTGTTGAGTCGCCCCAGCAGTAGCTCAACGCAGCGTACTCTTTAATGGTTCCCGGCGTTGACAACTCCGAGGTTACGATAAGGCGAACGTCTGGATCGGCATTCCCCCCAACATCAATGAGCCGCGTGGGACGGAAGTCTCGCAGACTTCGATCCATGAAATCAGTCCCGCATCTTTTGTGGTCGCGATTACAACCGTCGATTTGTTTCCTCGCCCATTTCATGACACCGGATGAGTTGGTTGTGTCCAGAGCATCACAGTTGTGAAATCCAAAGACTTATACCGGGATGTTAATGCTGTTCTGTGGACTGGGCGTTTGGACTTGTTACATACGTTTGTTAACCTCCCCGACCGCTAGAGGACCACCCAATGCTTTATAACCCGACCCGTTGTCTACCAGCTGAATGCGCAATATGGGTCCCTCTCGGATGTGGGCTTCCTCCCATATTTTGATCATATGCATGGTTCCCGCAGCCTCCACGGCACCACTCGATCCATCTTGCCAATGGCTGCGGGATGCAGCATCGTCTATAGCTGATTTAGAGTGCTGCAAAAGGCTACACAAGGCACAGCTCCTTGAGGTTATTATGAGGTCGTAGTTCGTTAGATGCGGGTGCATTTCAAAAGGCCTTGTGAAAAGCCGCCAGGTGCCTGTCAGAAGAGCAGATGAATCGACCAGCGTTCGACATGTGCTGCACAGCTCGCTTTCCCTCTCTCGTTTACATCCTTGAGAACACTTGGACCCTGCGCCTTGTCTGAACCGAGGTCGGCGTACAACGTAGAATTTTGAGAACAGGGTAAGGAACAGCGAGAACACAAGATATAAGGAAGAAATGGTCCATTTAAGAGTGAAATAGAAACAAAAGTAGCAAAGGAAGGATATAGGTAGAAGTATAGAAAAGGGTAAAAGAATAATAAAGCGAAGACAGACGAGAACTATAAAAATCAGCTGAATGAGGAAGGAAAGAACGAAGAAAACGATAACGAAGGGAGCTGAAACAAGATTCGCTAGATACGAGAGCAGACGCAGCAACGATGCCCGTAGTATCTCAAATCCATAGAGGAAGATGGCCAAGAAAAATATTTCCGTTGGGAGTAATAATAATAGCCCAGGCTCCATCCAAAAATGATACAATTGCCACCCTACAAAACCCAGCCCATAGGCCAGGAAGCAAGATATCTTCAAAGAATTCCATCCTAGTGTGACACAGCAAGTAAAGCAGCGACGCCTTAGTTACGGTCCCTCGCTTCCGATTAATGAGTCTGCTAGCGAGGTTCGACTACGAAGCTGGTAATGTTGTGAGTGCACGATCTGACCTGACCCTTGTGTCCTCTGAGGGGTTTTTATTTAGGTACTCACCCAATCAATGTTAATCCAAGCACCTGTCCTACCACGACCTATGTTTTCACCCAAGCTTCAGCTTTAGTGATCAATATTTATCAAAGTAGCATTGATAATTGACTTTGATCTTCCATAAAATTTATTATTATCAGAATATAAATAACAAATTTATTTGGGACCCCCCAAAAGGAGGAATTTCACCATCTAGATACTTGAAAATTAAGCTCTTCAATCCATACTACCTGTTAGATAAGTGCATATCGTGATACGAAGCTTCAATTATGGAGATGTGCATTGTAATATCAGACACCTGCGTGCCATCAACAGCTAGTTCCTTTAAGAAGCTGGGTGGCAGTGTCACTTCCATCCTCTCACACTTTTGTTTTGCTTGGAGGAGCCGGTAAACATCATCATCACAATCTAGACGGAAGCCTCTATTGTCCCCTTGGAGCCCCTCCACCCAGTGTACCGCCATCACGTCATTGTTTCTGTTGCGGAAGCCAATATTACTCTCTATTCCAGGCATACGCCCCGAACTATCGGGAAGTTTGCGATCAGAAGTCCTGGTTGTGGATGAAGCATTCTGTAAATTCATTGCCTCCCTTCGATCAGAACAGCCCTTGTTGACCCTTTTATCAGCCTCATCCATGCTCCAATGCGTTTTCCACCAGTGGATCCAACCTTAAGATCTACTGTAACTAAGGAAGATCAAAGAAATACTTTTCAAAAGATAGCCGAGTACCGAGCCCCAGCCGTGATTGATTGAAACCCGCGCCCACCTCAGGCTGCGCCAATCTCGTTGGTCACATTGACGAAGGCCTCCCACTGCTTCCAAGCCTCACCACTCTTGAGAGCCCAGCGGGCACGTCTCACGCCCTCCTTCCAGCGCTGGCCGCCTGGACCGCGCTCCTGGATGACATTTCCATCATCGCCGGGACCCATGTTGCTCGTGTCCGCCTCGCAGATCCCAGAGGCCACGAACAGGGTGGACACGTTGATGAGCACAAACTCTAGCAGGGGGTCATCGTCAGGGAACTCGTTGTTCAAGATGCGCCGCAGGATCTGCGCATTCTCCTCCGGCTCCTTCCCGCCCGAGACCTCGTCGAGCGCGTGGGTGCTGAGGCCGAAATCACTGGGCTGTATCTGGAAGTGCTCGATGAATGTCTCGCCGCCGGGGGTCTTGTCCTTGACCATCCAGCAGTTGGTGCGGCCGGCGCAGCTGACCTCGTCGAGCTCCTCCTCGCCGCACACGACGAGGGCCTTCCTGCTGCCGGCGATCTGGAGGGCCTCGGCGAAGGCGGGGCCGAGGTCCCTCCTGGCGACGCCGATGACGCGGGCCTCGAGCAGGTCCTCGACGGGATTGGAGAGGGGCCCGATGTTGTTGAAGATGGTCCTCCAGGGGAGCTGCCGGCGGATGGGGGCGACGTACCGCATGCCGGTGTGGAAGAGGGGCGCGAAGAGAAAGGCGTAGTTGGTCTCCGAATACACCCTCTGGATGTTCGCCGGCGACACGGCGCTCAGGACCGGGGGGCGGGGCTGCATCTGGTTGACCAGGTCGGCGCTGCCCGACTTTGATGTGCTGGCCTTGTTTCCGTGCTTGGAGATGAAGAGCAGGGATGAGGCGATGATGGAGGCCGTGGTGCTGATGTTGAACGTGTTGTGGGAGTCTCCTCCGGTGCCAACAATGTCACACTAGGGAGCAGAGATACAACGTTAGTCACTGATGCTCAAACTTATACGCCTGTTACCTTGTCTACTATATCTGTATATATGTGCGCCAAGGGAAGGGCAGGAGGAAGAAAAGAAGTCTCTCACCAAGCCACCATTGTATTGTCCCTCCTTTCTCCCACGTTTCTCAATCACAGCCCGGAGAGTCTGCGAGTCAATGGGCTCGGCTGCCTTGCGCATCGACGCTGCGCATTTGGCCAGAACCTCTGCCTTGAAGTCCAGCTGGGTAAAGTGAAGCGCCATTAGTAGCGAGGCGGTCTGGGCCTCGCTGACCTGGTTGGTGAAGAAGTGCGAGATGGCATCGGCAATCTCATCACTGGATACCTCTGCATGGATGGGCCAAAGCTTGGACAACAATGGCTTGATATTGATCAGGGGCAGATCCTGCCCACTGGGATTGCCTTGTTGTGCGGACATTGTGGGTGCCGGCGATCCTGATGGCTCGCCAAGTAGCAAGCAGAAGACGAAGAGGAGAGGCCTGTGATTGACAAGGCGTGTTCACAGACAATGGAGGTCCAGCCTGAGTGGTGGTCTGTTCGTTTGAATGAGTGTACGGACGTCTTTGTGAAATGAAGCTTGATTGGGCTGGCCGCTGCACTATCCGCAGTTGGGTATGACTCAGGTCCGCCGAAAGCGCCCCCCAACTGAGCGATTGTCTCAGAGCAGGACACCACAATGTCTAAGCATTTCCAAGTGTCTGCTTTGGTATGGTTCAAATTGCAACTCCATTGTCGGCGAGGCCACCTACCTGTCATTCCCAATTGATCGGGAGTGTAGAGCAATTCTCATTCATATGCACCGGGCATTGGCATGCCGCCCCTGGTTGGGTACACAGATGGGGCTGTCCCCCACCCCCAGAAGTAATTTGAACAAGCATTTATTTACATGGGAAGCATTCCACACGTCAGGAAGCTCTGCACTGTGCATTAGACATATCGCACCTGATAGTCCTTAGGAAGCCCCCACAAGGGTGACAACCGTCCATCGCGATGCCACTAATCCAACTCTGATTGAGCTGGCAGCATCTCGAGCTGCGGCATCGCTGTGCCAATAGCAGCAGTGCGGGCGACTGTAGACCAAACCCCGCTGACATCACTCCACTGAAAAGCACCACCTCCAGCAGGCCGAAACCCTGGAGAGAATCCATAACTTATTCTCAGGACAAGACCGCCAGCGAACCCGCCAACTTGTCTGACTTACAACCTCTATACTCGCTCGCCCAAGATGCCACCCAGCGCCATCATTGCACCGTCGATTCTGTCGGCCGACTTTGCCCAGCTCGGCGCAGAATGCGCCCGCACAATGGACCAGGGCGCCGACTGGCTCCATGTTGATATCATGTAGGAGCTCCCGCCCCGCATTGGAGACGGTCCTTTCGAGGGTCAGCTCCCAGGTGGTTCACAGCAGAGGGGGGTGAAGGATATCGATGAACTCATGCGCCAGTGTAGGGACGGCCATTTCGTGCCCAATATCACCTTTGGAGCGCCCGTCGTTGCAAAGATCCGCTCTCACGTTGACAAGCCCACGGAGAACCATGGCCGAGGCACCTTTGACTGCCACATGATGATTGCAGAGGTAGAAGCACACAATGACCATCCTTATCATGCCCTGCTAGTTTAAATTCGTAGCGCTAACGAATCGGCTCGCCCAATTTCTTGTGAAGCCCAAGAAATGGGTCAAGGAATTCAAGAAGGCTGGCTGCGACCTGTACTGCTTCCACTACGAGGCGGCCTTCTCCTCCGCCGCCGAGAGCCCCGAGCAAAACACCGACGAGAAGACAAGCCCCAAGGCGTTGATCCGATATATCCATGACCAGGGCATCCTGGCGGGAATTGCTATCAAGCCAGATACACCCGTGGATGTGCTGTGGGAGATTTTGGAGAACCCTGAGGAGAAGGAGAGACCAGATGTATGAACTTTCAACTCCCCACCCCCTTTGGGAGGTGTTGATAACAGGACCTTTGGGGTTCGCTTCAGAAATACGAAGGAAGAATAAGACTAACATAAACTATAGATGGTTCTCGTCATGACAGTGCACCCCGGATTCGGTGGCCAAAAGTTCATGGCCTCCGAGCTGCCCAAAGTGCAAGAGCTACGAAAGAGGTATCCCGAGTTGAATATCGAGGTCGACGGTGGTCTCGGGCCCGGGACCATTGACCAGGCTGCCGATGCTGGCGCCAATGTTATCGTGGCCGGCAGCGCCGTGTTTGGCGCAAAGGATCCGGCTGAAGTCATCTCACTGCTCCGGAAGTCGGTCGACGAAAGAAGCCAGAAGCTATGATTAGAAGCAATATAGAAGGTCAATGTTCAGGTATATAAGCGCAAGTATGTGATGCTCGTGCCCATGGCGTAGACTAGGCCTCACATTATGTAGACCCTGAAGCATTCGCCGGACCCCAGAGCGAGCCTGTGTGAGTGCAACTCATACAGGAAGTTTGAACCTTCAAGAATGCCCCCCTTATCCGATGGTTGTCACATGGGCAAGTCAAAATGCGAAGTATCCACGATTGTAGTTACCCTTCTTTCTCTTCCTAGCTAGTACTTACGAACTATAAATATTGCGAGAGGAGAGATATTTATAAGCCTACCTAGGTAATTATTAAGCCTTAGTCGAGGCGAAGGAGATGATACATGGTCTGGAGGCCCATGAGTGAGAAGGGGATGTATGGCGGGTGGTGGAATCGCCTAGAACCATAGATAGGCCTGCCTCCAGAAGACGGGCAACGAATTGATGCTAGGGATTGAGATTGAAGTATAAAAAAGCAAAATTGGTCTGCCCAACACGATAAGTCCGTAAATAAGGCAATGCTTGAATTTAGGGTTCGCCGATTCTCGCCCGACAAGAGGTCCAATTCTAGCGGGAGATCACAGGGGCACTGTGTACCTGCGTTCTACATTCCAGTACATTCATTCTCGGCCAGTAGTCAGCGGAACGCCCACATTATGCAATGCTTATCCAAGTACCTGAAATGTAGCGCCCCACAGACTCGACCTGACAATTCAGGCTGACTCATAGTGGAAGTTTCGCCTTCCACCTGATTCTGGTCTTTGGGGCGGAGTGCAGGCAGCAGGTACTAATCCGCATCCTTCGTCCCCAATCTCACACGCTCAACTTCTCCTCGTCATCATTCTGTTTCTTCAGCCTCTTGCCGCCAGAAGTCGGTTTGCACTCACTTCAACCAGCCAAAAACCACATCTGCACGACATTCTCTACTCGCTCAACACAAGCGACCACTTCCACGCCGACTTTTCGCTGTTCTGACGTTGTTTGTGCAGCGCTCAGACACCTTCACTGGTTCAGAACAGTCGGCCGGCAGAGTTTTCTGTTTGCTGCTCAGCCTTTTTCATCTAGAATTTGATATTTCCGCCATCTCAAAATACAGTTACCTTCCGTCATCGACAATAATTTGGGTGAAGGAAGATTCCTTTGTTATTTAATATTCCCAATTTTCCTCTCTAGCGGTCGCCTTTGATTTTAACGATTACATCTCCTTTGTGACACACAGTCGCACCAACAATTACACAAACGCATCACGCGCATACATTCTTTATCGACCAAGGCCAACTCCGTCATCTCACCGCTCGCCCAAGTTCTCTTTTCAACACTCTTCTCTCTCCCTCCACACCGCCAAAGTGCATTCTCCACTCTATCTCCAGCTTGTGAACGATCGTCTCTGGACCTGCGAAGAACTCAAACAAGAAGAAGCAAAGTCTACTCGACGGGCAATTGCTAGGAAGCGGGTTGAACTGCGAAGGCGGAATAAGGCTGCGAAGAAAGCCCGAAAAGTGTTTGACGAAATCAACAACATCTACACAGCGAAACCGTACCAGGCCAAGATGTTCCCGCCAACTGGCGGAGATGGAGCCGGCGGGTTCAAGGAGGATCTAAACAACGTTCTATGTTGTCCAGACTGCAAGGAGATCCCCCCCAACCTGGTGGAGGAATTCTCTAGCGGAGACATGGTGTGTCAAAGCTGCGGAGTTGTTGTTGGTACTCGTATCATCGACACAAGATCTGAGTGGCGAACATTTGCCAACGACGACCAAGGTGGTGACGACCCCAGCCGTGTCGGTGGACCTCAGGATGAGTTCATTGAAGGCGAGCAGTTGGCCACCAGCGTTGCCTTCTCGGAGTCCAAGGCACACAAGGCTTTGTCAAGAACCCAAAACAACACAAATGTCGACAAGGGACAGAAGAATCTCATGCAGGGCTACAAGGAGATTGTGGCACTCTGCGAGACTATCAACATGGGTCAAAACGTGTCCAACGCCGCCAAGCACATCTTCAAGCTTGTTGACAAGCACAAAGTCTTGAAGGGAAAGCCTCAAGAGGCCATCATTGCTGGTTGCATTTTCATCGCATGCCGTCAGAATAACGTTCCTCGTACATTCCGTGAAATCTTCAACCTCACATCAGTTCACAAGAAGGAAGTCGGTCGAGTGTTCAAGCAGCTCCAGGCATTCCTGCTTAAGATTCAAGACAAGGAGGGCGGAGAAGGCGCCACCGGCTTGAACACCGTCACACACTACGAGAACACTGCTGTTGGTGCAGCTGAGCTTTGTGGTCGTTACGTCTCCCAACTTGGCTTCAAGAACCAACAAAAGATCTCCAAGATCTCTCGCGAACTGGCCGAGCAAGGCATGGCCAAGAACCAGAATCTTTCTGGCCGATCTCCTCTTTCTGTTGCAGCCGCTTGTATCTACATGGCATGCCATCTAGTTGGAGAACCCCGTGCTTCTCAGCCGATTGCCAAGCAAGCTGGTGTCAGCGACGGCACCGTCAAAACAGCGTACAGATTTCTCTTTGCCGTCCGAAATGAAGTTGTCAAGGAGGAGTGGCTCAAAGACGGCATAACCATGGACAGCATCCCGCAAGTCCAAGCGTAGCGCGCTGGGAAGCGAGGAAAGATAGTCCCTCAAAACGGAGGTCAAACTGGAAATCTTGAGGTTACTCTCAAGTGTATCCCCAAAGAAGAACAACAATGCTGATGGAATCGATACTGCTGTGTATCGCCACCACCAAAAAAAAGCCTTTGATTTCTTGCACCGCTTTATGTTTACGACTGAAAGTTGATACCAGTTGTGCCTTTAATACAAGACAACCCGACCCCAGCGCTTTTGCTAGCAGAAGACATACAACAAATCAAAACTTCCAAAACAACAACAAGAAGAAGGGATCTGAGCACCAAGATAGTCTTAGGTTTGGCTACGATTTGAAGGGTCCTCCTATCCCCTTTTTGTTTGCTTTTCCGTTTCCCTGCTGTGGTTGGATAGGGACTCAAGGGTTTGACTTTGGTATTCAAGTCTTGGTTGGCTTCAGGGTACAAACTCTGCGTGGAAGATTGGATTGCTAACTACTCATGGGAGGTCATTGGCACGGAATAACGCGCACAGATTGTGAACTTGATAGCGATTAGGCAGCGAGTAGGATGACAATGCTCTCTTTCTCTCTTGGCCATGCTATCTCTTGTCATCTTTTTGGGTGCTGTCTGTCCGTGAAGTGATGCCAATATCCCTAGAGTTTCCAGCTGCTCATGGAGATGCTAGTCACCCTTTCAATCCGCCCATATTTCACCCTCTGATACCCCTTAGTAATGCTGACACTGTCACAGTTAAGATTTTTTTTTATAAACTTTTTTTTCCTCCAGGATGAGGTTTTATATACTAAAGTTGACTGAAGACGAAAACGAAGGCTGGCCCCTACAATGGATCGAGTCTTCAGGAGTAGCTTCACTCATTAAATATACTCATACAACCAGAACTCTATTCCTCTAGTGTCCCCTTCTGATGTGATTGACGTGGCCATGAAGTACTTTGTATATCCTAAAAGCTCTTGCGTGCGTGGATTTCTGTCGCGTGGAGCTAGGAGGAAAAGCCGATTTCAGCCAATACTCCCGGCTTGACTCGTTAGGAAACGATTCTCGGACGGGGCACGGCCCTGTCCTCCAATCAAGCTTTCTTTGCCTGATCCTTGTCTTTCAGTGGACACCCGCAAAACAACTTGCGTCACCCTCAGGTGCTTTGGTAGCAATTGAACGTTGATGCGGAAGGATGGATACGAGCAGAACAATGGGCAGGACAGTAAACGCCCAGTCAGTGAGTGAACTGTCTAGGTAGCCTTCGGGCAGTCAAGTCATGTGACGACCTGGCCGCGTTCTAGATCGGTGGTGTCAGACAAGACTAGAGAGACGTCGACTCTAGACACACGCAACGCTCTTTGTGGTGCCCGTTAGCGCCTAAATAAGCGTGCGAATAGTTTGTGGCAGGTGTGGCACAGGCATCTGGAGATCGCGGCCGAGTTTTGGGGACTTGGGATGGTTCCTCTCCAGAACGACGAATTTTGATTACGCTGCCCCCCATGAAGTGACGAGTCTGATAGTTTCTTTTCTGGGGCCTGTCCTTGTCCGGGCCCGGGAATATGATGGAGGTTTATTTTACTTTGCAAGGGGCGTCCCAACCGTGGGCACCTGAGCAATGAGATGAGCGCCTCCGTCGCTCCTGCCCCCCTGCCTCACGACGACGAGGACCAAAAGTGAAGCCTTCCCGATGGACGATCTAGGCCCAAGATTCTTCTGAGGCTCGCCACATGATGCAACCGTAGCTCGGTTCGGACCTCAGCGCCATCGTGACTCGCGGGCGGTTCTCTCGCCTGGCACACGTTTTCCTCCGATTTACCCTAGCCTGGGCGCCGGCTGGGCCAGTCCTCACACCAACTGGCCCCACGTTGGTCCATCTCGAGGCCTCACCCTGGCCCGCAATGACACCACAGCCTTCCACCCCGGCTTGGCCTGGCCTGGCCTTGTCTGGTGTCGTCGACGAAGTGTCAGCCATTAATCTTTCTGACCCATGGTGATATTTATCTGTGTCTGCGATGTTTTCCATCCCCAACCTCTCCCAGAGAGGTGAATCCCTTACTTGACCTGTATCGCCTGTCGCCATCACCAGATCTGTCTCCTGACTATCCTCCGGCGCATCACATCCTGACCAGATCCCCACCGCAGTGAAAACTCACAGCCATTCTCGATACGAAGTCTTTCTCTTGGGTCGAAACAGGAAATTAGGCGACTTGGACGTCTTGTTATGGCCCATTCTTAACACTCGGCCCCAACACAACACCTACCTACTAGGTTTTTGTACTTGAAATCTATCGCCTTCCTCTTCGCCTCACTCGCCCGACTCCAACTAGGCTCTAACTGTTCTTTATGAGAGGCGGCGAGGCCATGGACGGGGCAACTCGCCCGAGGTTCTCGCTAGCCGGTACCTCTTCAATCAACCGTTTCTATGGCAAAATCGCATCCCGCTGGCGGGAGTTTATCCGCCAATTGGTGCTCGGATTCACTTGGCTTTACCAGAGAGTTGTTGTTGAACTCATCTTGCGAAGGAAGGCATTGGCCAAATCTGATGGACGCCATATTCCACTGAGGATTGGCCACGACTCGCCGCTTCTCGATCCTCGGCGAGGCCACTCTTACATCCCAAATACTATTCGAACTTCCAGATACACCATCTGGGATTTCATTCCTAAACAATTGATCTTCCAGTTCACACGCGTGGGAAACTTCTACTTCCTCTGCGTTGGTATTCCTCAAATGGTAGGCCCCCCACCTGCACAATATTACCCCCTGGGCTACTAATGAGCGTCAATGCTGATCTCCTTGGTCAGATTCCTGGCCTTTCTACAACTGGAAGCTATACTACAATTCTTCCATTGATGTTTTTTGTTCTTCTTACTATATTTAAGGAAGGATACGATGACTACAAGCGGCACAGGCTTGACCAGGTGGAAAATGCCAACTTCGCGACTGTCCTACGGAGGGAGGACAAGGCTGCGGGTGTTACTAAAAGGTCTTCCCTATTGGATCGATTGAACCCGTTTCTACTTGGCGAGGATACTCCAGCTCTCCCTGCCTCAGAGGAAAACCATGAAGGGTTTCGCTGGCTACCTACGAGATGGAGAGATATTCAGGTAGGGCACATCGTCCGCCTGTCTCGAGATGAGCCAGTTCCGGCCGATATTGTTCTGATCCATAGTGACGGAGAGAACGGGTTGGCCTATATCGAAACGATGGCTTTGGACGGCGAGACAAACCTCAAAAGCAAGCAAGTCGCGCATGTATTCGAAAATTGCGATACCATCTCCGGCATCTCACGCTGCCAAGCGAACTTTGTCATTGAAGACCCAAACCCCGACCTTCATTCATTTGATGGCCGTGTAACTGTCGGCGAGAAAAACCCGGTGCCTTTGACGATAAACGAAATTGTCTACCGCGGCAGCATCTTGCGAAACACAACATGTGCCATTGGAGTTGTCGTTAACACCGGCGAAGAATGCAAGATCCGGATGAACTCGAACCAGCACCCCAGCGCGAAGAAGCCTGCCCTCGAGAGAATGAACAACAAGATCGTTGTCACCCTTGCTTCCTATGTCGTTCTTCTGTCTGTTGGTATTTCCATGGGCTACGTCAAATGGCAACGCGAATACGAGCGTCATGCCTGGTATCTGACCTTTGCCAAAGTTCCCTTTCACCAGATTATCATTGCCTTCATCATCATGTTTAACAACGTGGTGCCTTTGTCTCTCTATGTTACCCTTGAGATTGTCAAGGTGGGGCAACTCCTGATGTTGAACTCAGACTTGAAGATGTATGATGAGGAAACCGACACGCCTGCTCGCTGCAACACCAACACAATCCTCGAGGACCTAGGACAAATAGGAATCGTATTTTCTGATAAGACAGGAACTTTGACAAACAACATCATGAAATTTCGCAAAATCAGCATCGCCGGAACCATTTGGCTGCACGAAATGGACCTTCAAGCGGCCGAGTCTGAGTCCATAGCCGAAGGTTTATCTAGCTGCACAAGCACGGCCGGCTCCGTTATGAAAATTGAACCAATTAGGTTGGTTGTACCTAATGACCATCGCCCTGATTCCTTGGAACCCCCAAATTCAACACCTAGACCATCGATCGGAGGAGGCAGACGATCATCGTCTCATTGGAGGTCGACGGGAAGACCCGACCATGTTCAACCCGAAGTGAATACGGAGGATTTGATGGAATATGTACGACTGAGGCCACATTCTGCTTTCGCGAGAAAGGCTCGCGATTATCTTCTAGCCATGGCTCTCTGCCACACCTGTTTACCGGAGCTGAAGGATGGCAAGATCGAATACCAAGCATCGTCTCCAGATGAGCTTGCTCTAGTAAAGGCGGCGAGAGAGTTGGGATATTCTGTCGTCCAGCGGACTTCGAGGTCCATTACGCTTCGAATCACCGACCACGACAGTTTGACCCCGGCGGAGGAGAAAACGTATGAAATTCTCGACGTCATCGAGTTCAGCAGTGCGCGCAAACGAATGTCCATCGTTGTCCGTTATCCCGATGGACGTATTGCTGTTATCTGCAAAGGTGCCGATTCTGCCATCCTGCCACGGTTGAAAATGTCTTCGCTTGCCATGCAAAAAGCACATGAAGTCCGCGAGAGTGCTGATTTGGAGCATGAGAAATTTCGACGAAGTGAGCATCAGAGAGCACGAGGCAATATTACGGGGGCTCGTCAAAGTTTAACCGTACGACGAAACCCTGCCCCTTCCATGGAACACCGAAGATTCGATGGTATCAGGAGCCAATCGTTCGAAGCCGGCAGGTTGATGCCACCAACCACGGTCATGCCTCGGGCTTCTCTTTCAGCAAGGGGTGCCTCATTCGACGTCCAGAAGACTTCTTACCTCTCAGCTCATTCTCATCATACCGCGCCCCTTCCAGAACGCTATAGTTTCTTAGAAGGCCCCCACATGTATGACGAATCCGAATCGTTCTCAAAGTGTTTCCAGCACCTGGAAGAGTTTGCAACAGAAGGCCTGCGTACATTGCTCTACGCTCAAAGATTCATATCCGAGTCGGACTATCAATCTTGGAAGAAGTTGTACGACGATGCCACGACTAGTCTTGTCGATCGTCAGGAGAGAATCGAGAAGGCCGGCGAGCTGATTGAGCAGTCATTCGACCTTGTTGGCGCTACTGCCATTGAAGACAAACTACAGAAGGGTGTTCCCGACACGATTGACCGACTTAGAAGGGCAAACATCAAGATATGGATGTTGACCGGCGACAAGAGAGAGACGGCTATCAACATTGCTCATTCCGCTCGTCTTTGTCGACCAGGTTCGGATATTTATATCTTGGACGTTGCCAAGGGTGCACTCGAATCTCAAATCATAGATCTAAAAGAAGATTTAGAGGCTGGCTCGGTGCATAGCGTCGTGGTGATCGACGGCCAAACTCTAGCGAAGGTGGAGTCATCTCCCGAGTTGTCAAGCGAGTTCTACGCAGTCATGCTTCTTGTTGATTCCGTTATTTGCTGCAGAGCTTCGCCCGCTCAGAAAGCACTACTTGTTAGGACGGTACGATCACAGCTACGAACCTCGCCGAAGATGCAAACACGTGGTCTGACCCTAGCAATTGGTGATGGTGCCAACGACCTTGCCATGATCCAAGCAAGTCATGTCGGCGTTGGCATCTCCGGGAAAGAAGGCCTTCAGGCAGCCCGTGTCGCCGACTACTCTATCGCCCAGTTCAGGTTCCTGCAGAGGTTGCTTCTCGTACACGGCCGATGGAACTACGTGCGCACTGCCAAATTTATTGTCTGCACCTACTGGAAGGAAATGTTCTTCTATCTTTCTGCCGCACAGTATCAGAGGTATAATGGTTACACCGGTACATCCTTGTATGAGGCCGCCAGTTTGACCGTTTTTAATACACTCTTTACTAGTCTCTGCACAATCTGCATGGGTATCTGGGAGCAGGATCTACAGGCCGAAACGCTCCTGGCAATCCCAGAGCTATATGTATTCGGACAGCGCAATAAGGGTTTGAACCTTCAGAACTATGTTTTGTGGATGCTGCTTGCGGTCGTCGAGGGTGTGATTTGTTGGTACGGTGCATGGGCAGGGTATGGCTGGATTGTACCAAGCGGACAGGATCACAAGTCGCTCTACTCCCTCGGTCAGTTGGTCTTCACTATCGGCGTTTTCTGGATCAACTGGAAGCTATTGTAAGTTGGCCCTTTCCTTCACTCCCAAGGTATCAAGCACCTTGGGACAAATCATGCCACTTGTACTAATACTCATCGCGCACGCAGCATTTTCGAAACTCACTTCAAGACAGGCATAGTGATGTTTTCGTTCTTCCTGACCACCTGGGGTTGGTTCGCGTGGAACGCCTTTCTCAGTGGCGTATATGCCAAATTCCCTTCAGGCCCTTACGCAATCCGCGACTCCTTTACTCAGCTCTGGGGGCGAGATCCCACTTGGTGGGCAACCTTGTTTCTGGTCCTGTCATTTCTAGGCCTCATGGAACTTGTGGGAAAACTAGTCATAACACAGATTCGCACGTCTGGACAGAAGGGTTCAAACGGCAACATGGAGGATTGGGATTTGGAGACATGGCAGGAGATGGAACACAATCCCGAAGTCAAGCAGTACCTAGAGAGGCTGGCCAGGGATGGAGATGATGAAGACGACCTTTATGATGATGTCATGGAAATGGGGATAGACTCGACTGATCTGCCCGGGGACAAGGGCGGCACCTTCCGAGAGCATGTTATCAAGCTGGGAAGCATGCTGCCGTCGCTTAACCGGGGCGCTGCGAAATAGTGGCAGGTTTCCACGTGCTTGGCATTCCGGCGTTTATGATTGTAACGATACAAGGGGGGCATGGTGGGCAGCATAAAGTATATACATTTGGCCGGTTTAGACTATATATACCTCAACGTAATACAGCACACATCTACTTGACTTACCAACTGAATGATAGAGGGAGCCAGATGTCAAACTAAAGAGCATTGGTAAGTAGGGCACTATCTACAATAATAATAGCGACAGTTTGTAGTTTGTTGTCTTTCACATCCTTACTATTAGCCTTTCAAATGATAATAGTACAAGCCATGGGCTTAGGAATACCTCAGGATACAATGTTTAGGTTTATCTCTATCAATTGCCAGTTGATTACTTTTGAAGTAGGTCTCCAAAGCGGGCAATCGGCGCAAGCAGTCTAAATTCTATTTCACCGCTTTATCTTCCTCGTCCTTTGCACTCCTCACAACACCCTCGTCGTCGCTTCTGTCTTTCACTGGCTGAGGAGTGGTAGGTTTCCCGATAATTTCCAAAGTGCGGAACGCCAGCGGGACGATGAGGACTGCCGCTGCACCCAACCCAAAATTCATCCAACTCGCAGCTCGGATACCTTTGAGAGTGGCAAAGTCCCAGGCTTCCATTGGTCCAGCGTCCTCGATCGGGACATGCCTGGCGTTCGCCATGATGGATGTTTGAACAGCAGTACTGATAGCAAGGCCAATAGATCGGCCAAGCTGGCCAGAGGCGTTAATGAGAGCTCCGCCAATGGCTTGGTCTTTTTGGGGCAGAGAATGAGATGTAAACAGGGTGAGTGACGGCCAGCAGGTGTCCGCACCAATAACCGCAAGGATCATGGCGGGGAGGCCCCAAGCGAAGTAGGAGGTACTCGGAGGGATTGGGACCGCAAAAAGAATACAAGAACCGCACATAGCTATCGTGCCGCAAGTCAGGATGTAGACAGTGGGAACCCAGTGCAAGAGCTGGGACACGATGGCAGCGATAATAGCACCGGACATTCCAGTTGGTATGAAGCGCAGCGTGGTCTGGATCGGCGATAGGCCCTGGAAGCTCTGGAAATAGTAGGTAGCAAAAACCAGGTAGTTGTTGAAGGCGGCGAAGAAGAGTCCCATAATGGCGATAACGGCACTGAAGCGGGTATTGCGAAACAGGGAGACTTTGAGAAGAGGCGCACGGTCAGGTAGGCGAGTCTCAATATAGTTCTGCCAGTAGACAAAGGCAGCTATGATGAGGAAGGACACCACGATGAGAACTGGGATCCAGGGTGTCGCCCAACCGACCACATTACCTTCAGTCAAGGCAACCATCAGAGCAAGGAGCCCCACGGTGATGAGGAGCCCTCCGATCCAATCGATAGTTGGCCTCCTTTTGCCTTCGTTGTCTTCCTTGGAAGGCGTAGGGGTAGGTGGGATAACAAAGATTCCAGCAGCAGATATGATACCTGCCATGATGGCGGTTGCGCCAAAGACCCATTTCCAGTTTGCGTACTCAGCAATAAGACCAGATAGGATGTTTCCGCATACACTTCCCAGGGGTGCTCCTGCAGCTATCACGTTCAGAAATTAAGGGTTAACACAAGGGTCCCATTTGTGGCGCAGGAGGCCTGCTAAGATAGCATACAGCTGCCAGTAAAAAAGGGGGAGAATGAGAGCAAAAGATCATACCATATGTACTAAAAGCATAGTTCTTTGCCTTTCCAGGGGGAAATGTCACTCCCAAGATGCCAATTGCTGTCGGCACATTTGCAGCAGCCCCCTGAAGAGAGAAAGGACATGTCAGCAAATATGCACAACACTTTCCTGTTTCAAGGAAAATTGTAGCGGAATGCAAAGGAGAGAGGTTTAGAAACTCACCAATCCATGCAGTGCTCTGAACAAATCGAAAGCAATCTCATTAGGCAAAAACGCGTTGGCTGCCGCAATGGCCGTGACCCAGATAGAGCCCCCGATGAAGATGAGACGCTTGCCGTAGACGTCTGCGATGCGCCCCCAGATGAGCAAGAAGCAGCCGAAGGTGAGTGAGTACGAGGAAACAACCCACTGGAGCCGAGTTTCGGGGATGTCGAGAGCTTCACCAATAGTGGGAAGGATAATGACGACACTCATTATCGAGAGAGTCTGTTAAGGGGATCGTGTTAGTCAACCGGCATCAACATGGCCATCATCAGGGGAATTGGGCCTATACGTTGAGGAATGAAGCACCAGTGAGAGTAGCCACAAGAGCGATGCATCTTGCTTTAGAGAAGGGCAATTGGGGCGGCTCCTCCGTCTCGACCTCGTCAAATCGCGCCTGCCCGGGACTCTTCCCCTCCTCGGTCGCAACTCCCTTTCCCTCAGAACCCGCTCCTTCCTGCCCAATTCCTTCCCATCGCTTTTGCGCTATGTCCGGCCCCCGAGAGCTGCTTTTCCTCGGGGCATTGGCGGTGTCCGATTTCGGTGAGGGAGCAGAATCGTCTGCGGGAATTGCCATTATCACCGGGACTACAGTAAGCGATCACGGCGGCCTTTGTGTGGCCTCGCAGGTACCGATAACCGATGTGAAAAGGGGCGGGAATGGGCCGCTCAGTCTCTCTCTCTTGGAGTTGGGGAAGATTGCCGGCCAACTAATTCTACGAAACTAACGGACAGAAAATTGGACATGACTTAATAGCCGGGGCCCGCGACTTGGTTGGCCTCCTTCCGAACCCGGTTGACATCCGCTTACCACGGATCCTATAAAGCAGGCGGAGCGGGCTGTAAGCTGCAGTTCCAACATGGAGAGAGCGGCAACACAGCGCCGGTGTCGCAATCTTCCCCCCCGATGGCAACACTCACGTCCCGCCGAAGTTGACTACCAGAAAGGGAGGTGGTGATGGCCGCCTATTGGCAGGCCTACATCCGTTACCCCTGCATTCACGGAGAGAGGGAGAGACCAATATGTAAAGGCTCCAAAGTAACACCTGTGTTTTTTTTGTTTGGTTGCTTGTCTAATCCTTATCCATGAGCTCCCGAATCCCCCTTGGCTGTCCATATACTAAGTAGGTACCATTTCTCCCGTTGTCGCCGAAAAAAAAAGAAACCAATAGAGCACAAAAAACATAAGCAAAGTCCTCCTTTCACGAGGGTGCGCGCAAGAACCATAATCAAACGTCCTCAGGTGCTTCCTCGCCAAGGCAGCTTCCGTCAATCCCCAACCCAAAAAAAAAAGGACAATGATTAGTCGAGAGCGTGCAGACTTCAGTCTTCGTCTGGCGGGTTTTTGGAAAAATAAAATCAAGGGAAAACAAAATATCAAAGAATCGCGCGAGCCTTTTCATCCAGCCATACCCTGACCAATGTCACCTTGGTTGCCTTTTGAGTTTGAAAATACAGTCAATCCACTTCCCTATTCGTCTCTCATCGCCTGAGACTCGTCTTCGCCAACACCGAGAAGAAACCTTTCCGGCGTCAAAAGATAGTCAATCGTACACATAATCATGATTAGGGTTAGGCTCGCCCGTGCTCCCTCATTCTCAGCCTTATTCCTCTCCCGGGCGCATATAATATAATAAAAGAAATCCATGAGTAAGGCTTCAGTTCGGAGATCGCGCCTCGTAATTCTCCCTGGCCGATTCCATCACTATTCTCTCCGAGTTCAGCAACTCGACTCATGGTTCAGCCTTCCCCTCTGCCCGTCATGATCACCGTTTCTCTTAGTGGTAGTTGCCGCCCCAGCCACCACGCTGTTGCTGCTGGCCACCGTAGTAGCCTCCGCTTCCGAAACCTCCCTGGCCGTAGTTTGCGTAGGGAGTAGATCCGTGCTGGTTTCCGGCTCCGGCACCTCCCATGCCATATCCGCTACCGCCGTGAAGCCCATGACCCTGGAGGTGGCTAGGATATCCAGCATATGCACCTGCACCCATCTGGGACGTAGGTGGTGGTGGGAGTCCGCTCTGTCCAGCGGGAGCACTGCCCGACGCACTGGCAGTCGCCGATCCAGGTCGAGCTCCGCCCAGAGAAGGAGATGGCCCAGCACCAGACTTGGATTCGCCGAAAGGCTTCAGGTCATCGCCGGCAGCTCCATTCCCTTGCTGGGTCTGACTGCTGAATCCCTGTGCCTGTGACTGGAATGTAGATGAGCCACGAGCAAAGCTGTCGTGAACACTACCGAATCCGCTGCCACCAAGTCCAGGTGCTCCAGCAGTTTGAGCTGAGCCACCACGGCCGTAGTCTCCAAGGCCAGATCCCAGGGCCGAGTCCCTGTGAGCTGAAGTCTGCGCGAATGAAGCGGGAGAGTTTGTGTGGTCGAAAGGAGCATTGGGAGTCACACCGTATGGCTGGCCATACATACCTGCCTTTCCATACGGTCCAAAACCGCCCTGTCCGTAGCCGGCATAGTACTGGTTATAGTATGGGTTGCTGTAGTACGGGTGGTTATATCCGGGGAATCCCTGCTGTTGCCCGTGCGACTGTGGCTGGGATCCGGGGGCGCCCTGTTGAGGCTGCTGTTGCTGAGCCTGCTGTTGGGCTTGCTGCTGAGCTTGCTGAGCCTGCGAAGTAGGGTTGGGTGTCGAGTGTCCGCTGTTCTGAGCGTCATTGCTACCGGCACCGAATCTGGGCTGGTTATGAACAGCGGCGCTCTGGGGGTATTGGCTTAAGTTATCGGCTTGCTGTGTAGGGTTGTAGCTGCCAAAGGGTCGCTGACCCTCTTGGCCTTGCGCGCCCTGCTGCCCAAACTGTCCGTAGTAATTATAAGGAGTTCGGTCATTTGCGGTATAGTAAGAGGAGTAGTCGCTAGGAGCAGAGCTGAAGGGAGCACCTGGCTGCTGGCTCTGCTGCTGGGAGGCATGCGCCGGGAATGCATCGAAGGGAGGTTGAGATGAGGGAGTGTTTTGAGGGTGGAAAGGGTCGAGCGGCTTTTGAGGTCCTCCAGGGGTTTCCTGAGCACCAGTCTGTCCATATCGACCGAACTGTTGGTTAGGAGGAGGCTGGGTCGCGGCTGCAATACAGTTAGTCGTACTCATCAATAGACGGTGATCGGATATATCATACCTGGGCCTGTAGGGGCGACCTGTGCAGCAGGGGCTTGAGGCACTGCTCAAAAATTAGCGGGGCGCTTGGAGAAGCAAAAACAAGGACGAGCTTACCAGCAGCACTGGGACCAGTAGGTATAGCCTTCTGATCAACACCTGAGGCAGGTTGGGAAACGGGGGGGAGAGATGTTCTAGGGTGCGAAATGGGAGAGTCAGCAGGAGGTTGAGCACGAGTCTCGGGATCCTCGCGCTCGCCGTCGACGTCGTCATCGCCTCCACTTAGGTTGAATGCACCAAACTGGACGGCAGCACGGTCGACTTCACGGTTCCCAGGTAGACGGACAGCTTCCTCCTGATCGAGAACACGTCGCTGGTAAGAAGGTGTGCGGACAGCCCTCTCTGCAGTCGCCTTGATTGCAGAGGTTGCGTAACCGCTGGTCTGTCGTTGAACCTGGTGTTGCTGCTGAGCAGCTGAGAGTGGTGTAGCATTAGTGCTAGGAGGATTCTGTCGAGGATCCCAAGAATCAGCCGTTGTGCTCGCAGCCGTTTGAGTGGCGGGGGGGTTGGATTCATCAACAACCTGTTCAAGATTCGTCTTTGTGAGTTCGTCATGGGAGGGAGAGAGGGCGACTTCGGGTTCAATAATGGCAGCGGGAGGGATGGCAGCAGTAGCAGCACTGATAGTTTCCACAACGGGAGTAGATTCCTCTTCAACTGCGACGGGCTCGGGTTCGGGAGCGGGGACGGCAGGTTCGACAGTCGGCTCGGGTTCAGCTGGTAGTTCAGTAGGAGGTGCGGGAGCAGGGATCTCTTTTGGTATCGGGGCAGGCTTTGGAGCGGTCGACTGTCGAAGCATACTGGCCCAGGTCTTGGCCTGGGGAGCTGCAGGTTTCGTGGTTTCAGGAGCAGAAGCGGCAGGCTTCTCAAGCAAAGGTTCGGTCTTGTCCTCAGCGGCATCGATAGTGGCTTCGTCCTTGGGGAAAGCGGTGGACTCTTCAGTAGGAACGGAAAGCTGTTGGCCCTCCTTGGTGTGTCGGGGGCCATTGGTTGTGGGCTGAGAGGACCGGCCTCGACCACCGCGACCTCCTCGTTCCGTAGCCCTGCCTCTCCCACGGCCACCCTCAGTAGCATTGCGGCCTCCGCGAGAGGATCGAGGCGCAGCTGTCGATTCGGTGGACGCGCCAGGGGTGTCCTTCACCTTCGATCGAACAGGCTTCTTTGGCTTGGAGACTTCACCCCACTGAGAAATGTTACCTAGAAATTGAGACATTAGTATCTAATGCCCCCATCCCGTACCATGCAGATTATCCCATTTTCGCAAGGAGAGAGTGGATGGGGGTCTGGGTAGCACATACCTTCAGCAATGCGTGTCACGGCTTCGTTCTGGTCACCATTGGTTTCTTGGAGGGCAAAGAGCACGTCGACCTCAGACCAATCAGGGAACATCTCACGGATAACTGAGGTCTTATCGCCGTATTGCCGCCGCAGCTCCCCGATGTCACCCTCATCGTCGAATGCACTGGCTAAGTCTTGCGTGGCATGAGCGTCTGCCTTGTCACCGTTTGTTCTTCGACCACCGCGACCAGCAAAACCTCCTCTACCACCGCGACCAGAGCCTCGACCGCGCGAGGCGGATGGCCGTGAAGCGACCTCGGACATGAAGATTGGTTTAGATGAGATAAATTTGGGCGAGCAACAGAAGGAGGAACCGTCAGCTGTCCTCTGCTAGGAGCGACAAGCGGATGGTCTCGAATAGCAACACAATCCTGGTCGCGGATTGATGAATGCGACGATTTGATTAGTTGGAGAAAGGAAATAACAAGAGGAAAACAAGTGATGGCACGTTGCGGGGGAAATCGATAGGGCGAAGCGGTTTTGCCCAGACAAGAGTGAAGCGAGGTTGCAAGAGGTGAGATTGGGGAGGAAGGTTTTTGACTTTAGCGGCTGGTGACGCCCCTTTGCGCCCACCTTGGCCTGACGCGGGTCGCTGTAAGACGAGAACACCAGCACCAGTTACCGCCCTACATACCCTGAGCACCTTACCTAAGGCGTCGTCGGTAGGTCAGTGCGGCTACGTAGCACGACCGGCTATGTAACTCTACTAGTATAAGAGACCGGGACCACGTACCTCGCAGCGCACAGACACGCGAGAAGATACCCAGAGCCTGATGTCTCGCTCGAAACTGGTACATTGCCCATTTTTCCTCAGCTCCTTCATCGCCCCAGATTGCCCACCATTGTGGCAGTTGCAAGGTAGGCCCATCCTAATCCAGCCACAGCTCTGCCTGTTTTGAATGTGGGGGGATTGCCTAGCTTTCAACTCCCTGTAAAGAGTCCTTAAGCGGGAGAACAGCTCCTTCTAAATAGTAAAATTACATTTCTTCTCCTGTTGTGATATGCCGTAAGGGATAGAATGGTGCAGAGGCAAACTTCTGCTACTTGACACAGCCGGCTGCCTATTGGGCCCAGAATCGCCTTGCATCAGGTGGCAAGAGGGTCCCCATACCTGCGACTTGTCAAGCCACCCACACAAGATCCGCTCCAGGTTCGGATTTGGCCGTGCATGTATGCCTGACTTGAGGAAATTGGTTCCCGGTGATGACAATAGCTTTCTACTGTCGCACATGCTTTCTTAGCCATAGGAGATGCCTCCGATTCCACGAAATTTCCCGCCTGCGTCGAGAGTTTAGGGTTCCCAGTTAGTCGAACCTGAAAGTGCGATTCAGATCTCAGCCAATCAAGATCGGAAAGGAGGGTCTCAAGCTCCTGCGTAGCTCCAACACGGACTGCGATTGAGGTCACCCATCACGTGAGCAATGTACGTTAGCGAGGCAAACGTCGCCTTCCGAAGCCCACTCTCGCTACGACGGCTCTCGGGACCAAAAAGGTATCACAGTGACTTGTGACCAATATATAACACGAAGGCAAAGCATCGCATAACGCCACTGTCAATAGTAACGACAGGCTTTCTTCCAGGCATATACATCCCCTTAGCCTGCCCATTTCCAATAATTAGAACTGTTTTACTACCATGTCTTTCATTGCCCTGTCATTGGCTAGATGTGTCTGTAATTTCGTGAAGTCTCCCCGGCTTGTGCGCTGTTGCCGCTCGCGAGGATCAAATTCAAAACAAAGCTAATTAGACATGCTCATATACTTGCCGAACCCATTGTATGTTCAACTAGTACTTTTGGGTTCTTGATTGCCATTTGCTCAGGGGTTCTACTCTCCCTCTCACTGTCGAAGTGATCACGTGATTCATATTCGGTGAACATACCTCTTACCGATATATGGAAATCGGTGAGCCACATTCATCGATTCGGTCAGGAATAATAAACTAAACTATTTTTGTCATCATGTCCACCCACCTCGAACCATGAAGAGTCAGCCTATCATGACGCAACTTTAACCAATCCTCGCCCTCGTCCTCAACAGCATCCAGCTTGTGAAGTCAATCAATTGATCTAGAACAATGCTTATTTGTTAGTTACATGAACGTCAGCTCAGCTACGAGGCTCTCTCCAGCGACAATCCCAAAACCATGTACTCCACCAAGGCTGTTCACGCCTTAAAGAATCTCTTCTCGCGCTATCACGAACCGACAGCCCTCTCCAAAACACAAGCCCAAAAGCTCCTGGAAGGTCTCAAATCTTCATTTCGAGATCAACTAGACCGAGAACATGGCCACAACGTTAGCGACATCAAGAGAACCAAGATAGCAGCCCCGACCACCTCGACAGAGCTCAGAACCTCGCCGACTGATCAGCATTTAAAGACGTTGCTTTCAAACCCCCTGTTTAGCTACAATGAGCTCACGGAAAGCCCTCCATTGGGTCCCGCTATACTTAAAAACCAACGAGACCCGATGGATGTCTTTGATCATGCCGTATCAAAAGGAATGATGACGATTCGAGCGGCAACCGGCTGTTTAATAACGAAACGCAAGCAAATGAAAGCTACACAAGGGGATTTATCCGTCCTGGATGGCTCCGACACTGCCCTGCGGGTTCTCCGTTGGATACGGTCGTCTAGGTCCGAAAACAACCTAGATTTTTTGGATAACAGACCCTTTGTCAATGCCTTGATGCCCTTCTTAATATCAGAAGGCCTCGAAAACGTCGCATGGGAATGGGTCACCCGGTCCTTGCGCTCTGCTACGGAAGAAGTAGATCACGCAGCTCAACATGGCAGAGCTGAATTTGTTCTCGGCAACTTGGTTGCAGTGAAAGGGTTACCCCAATACGGAGACCTGGATGCCGCCATCGTGACTCTGTTACGTGCACAAAATGCTTACCAAGCAAGTCCTTTCCTCTCAGAACTTCTTTGGAAGCCTTGGCGATCAATATCATGGCTCTCCACCGTCGAGTCACACTCGAGGACGGCGCCTAACGAGATCCTTTACAATGCACATGTCGCAACAGCTGAGAAGTTCACTTCCTCAGTGGCAGTCGAGCAGGCACACTTGAGCTTATGGCATCCCACTCACCCCAGTGTGAACCAGGCACTCAGTCTCTTCCGCGACACCGGTAGGATGGACGGGGTGATGAAATCGATCAGCAAGGAGGGGAAGTACTCCTCTAAGAATAACCGGATGAAGCTGGGCCAGTGGCTCGTTGTTCTCGGTCACGATACCGTGGATGTGCTTGCTCGGTCCGGACGGGCCCGTGAAGCCAAGGAGGTGGCTGAACTCCTCAAGATGGAACTATCAGATTATCACCACCAACACCAGACGCTACAACTCACTTGAGACGGTGACGTACTTTCAACTCCAAAAATCGCATCATGCCATCTAAAGATGGCAAATATCACAAACAAGCGGGCTATGGTTACTGCCACCTAGCCAAACCAACCTGAATTTTGCAAAGATGGCCACTCTCTGCTCCGGTCACGGCTTAGACTCGTATTGAAAACCAATATGGGTCTCGAAAGACTTGGCTTGCTGCTCCTCCTTGGATTAGGGGATGGTAGGCATATGTATCTCACCCGCGGCTCAATGCTGATCAGGTTCCCTTCACGCATTTAACCCGCTTGATTCTTGGTACCAAGTGCCAAACCAAGGACTTCAGCGGCACAATTGATACCCAACACCTTTTGGCTTTCTATGTATATCTTAGCATATTCACAAACATGTGTGAGCTAAGAAGAGAAAACAGATAGGTCAACCCAAGCAACTGTGAAGAAGTATTTGGGGACTATATGCCACATCGTCAGCCCTGATGCAGCTGAGCACAAAAGAAACCCAAGAGTCACCCCGAGAGTTCGTATAGTATACATTCATAATACGAATAGCTAGGCGCGAACCTTCGACTAAGCTTTCAGGTTGATTCTTCCTTTTTATTTTATGCTCAGTTGCATCAGGGCTGACGATGTGGCATATGGTCCTGGGATGTTTCTCAGATGTTCGAGTTGACCCAGACGCTTTCTTCTTCTTATTTGTTCACACATATTGTAACGAGATCAACGCACATAGCACTGCAATATCAATACGAAACTCTTATTCTGTAACTTCTCAGTTTCAAATAGCAATAGCCTATCTGCTTTCAAGACTACTGGGGGGGTATATGCATATATACTTTTTCTTCGTCATGGCGTAACATGTATCTTTTCAAACAAATTCGAAATCTACCAAACGAGCGCCGTATGGGCCATCCACATCGTAGTTCAGTTCTTTTGACTTTTGACATGTCTAATTCGTAAAAGATAGCAAGCAAAGAACGCCAAGATTACACCGATTTTAACCTTCTTCATGAAACAAAAAGGGAAGGAAAAGAGGCTCAAGAAGGGCCGGCCTCATCATCGTCCTCGACCTCAAAGACGCCGGAAACGTCCCATCGATCGCCCTTGGCGCTCTGGCTGACGTACTTGACAAACTTGAGAACCCCGCTGTCCCGGAGGACGAGGGTGAGCTTGTTCCAGGCGGCGTTCTGGTAGAAGAGGATGTTGTCGTCGTCGGCGGCGGCGGTGTTGTAGACTGCCGCGTCCTCGTCTGCGTCGTCGGCTCCGGCCATGTAGACTTCGTGGCCGCCGACGTCGTCTTCCTCGGGTGGACTAGCTTCCGGCTTGGCCTTCTCTTTGCCTTTGCCGTTTGTGCTGGCCTCCCCGCCGTTCTGTTCCTCGGCGTCTTCTTCGTCTCCTTCTCCTTCTTCTTCTTCTTCTTCTTCTTCACCCCAGCCGGAAGAGGGTGTGATGCCAAGGTTGAACTCAAGTCGGGCCTTGCCGTCGTGGCCGGTGGCCAGTGTGTAATCCTTTCCGGGGCGGAAACGACGGGCAATAATGTCATGCGACTCAATGGTCGTGCCGGTTGCCAGTTGGAGCCAGTGGCGGAACTGGCGACTAGGCAAGAACACATCAAGAAGCTCTGTCAGGGGAGACTCGTCTTGCGAAGTGCGAATGCCGTCTGGGCCATTGGGGTGCTGGTAAAGATAGCGGAGCTTGTGAGGTGGTCGCGCTACCTTCCAGGGCGTGGTCTTTTCCAACTCGGCGCTGTCTTCAGGAAGAGGCTTCTTGTCCTGTTCGGAAATGTACTCTTTGAGCTTCTTGGAGAAGCTCTTGGATAGGATGTCTGTCAGTGTGATGCTGGAGTTTTCCTCGAAGTGCTCGGACACCTGCTCCAGAAGGTCCGGGGTCAGGTAGTTTGGCGAGATGTACTTGAGCAAGAACTCAAGGTCTGCCTCCTCAAACTCCAGATCACTGGAGGTCGGCTTCTCGACCTTGACAGGGGAAGCCTTGGGGGTGTCGTACTGCGCGGGGTTGCCCTGCAGCTGCATCAAGCCACTGTTCTTGGCGTTCCTCTCCTCCTCGCCCTCAATGTACCCGTCCTCGCCGGGCTGGGGGATATGGAACCAGCCGCTGATGGCCATCCTGACGCGGCCGCCATCCTTCTCAAGCTGCTCGGCAGACTCGGCGCGGTACACCTCCTCGACGTCGTGGAAGCTCTCTCCCGGCTGGACGGCGAAGAAGCTGAGCTGGTTCCAGGCGGGGGGGATCACCTTGGACGGGTCGGGGAGAGGCGTCTTTGCGACTTCGCCGTCCTTGCCCTCGATCTCCTGAACGGGGAACAGGCGCAGCGCACCACCCCACTCAGGCTTCCAGGCGGTATCTGGGTCAACGAGGTAGAGAATGTAGCTGACTCTACGACTGCCGATGACGTCGTCGTGGCAGAGGAGGAAGCACCCGGGGGTGTAGATGTTGATGGCAAGATCCGTCTTCTTCCCGCTCAATGGGCCGCAATTCGTGATGTGGGAGACATAATTGCGAAACGTCTCCGAGTAGATGGCATCGCGGAGGGACTTGAGCGACGGCAGCTTGGAGAGCGACTCGTCGTCCAGGCCGTCGAGGTTGGCAAGGTCGCCGGACTGGTGGATCTTGTAGATGTCGGTCTCCTTGGGAGTGAAGCTGACGTTTTCCTTGATCTCGCTGCGTACGTCGCGGAGCAGCTGGTCGTCGACGAGCTGGTGGATCACAGCATGCTTGTAAGGCGCGGAATTGGCGTATTCTGCGGTGTAGGCGTCGGTCACATCCTGGTCAAAGAGACCCTTGCGGAATCGCTCCTTGGCTTTTTCGGGAGAGAGGGCTGCAGGACAATGGCTTGTTAGCGGGAGAGTGCTGGGAGAATGGCGATGGCTTGCCGCAAAGCTCGGTGGGAGCGGGATTCGTAGCTAGCGACGAAAGACGGTGTTGATGGCTTACAAGTCTTGGGTTTCTTCAGGCCGGTGTCGCTCCGGCCGTTCTGGGAGGTTGCCTCAGCCTTGCGCTTCATTTTGGGAGATGTTGACAGAATCAATTGCTCTGCCACGCAAACTAGGAGCAAGAGGGAAGAGGAATTGGATGGGACAGGAGGGGAAAACTCGGGATCGGTGCTGGACCGCAGTGTGGGCAGTGGTCTTATATCGCAGAATTTTTATTTTCTCTCCAGCACTCCAGCACTCGCGCACCACCCTGGAGCTCCCAAACCCGTCCTCAGGCCATGGTCATCATCGCCTGATCGGATCCCTCGCCCCCCTCCTCGTATGTAGGTAAAATCCTTATGCAAGACGACCTAGTCCTTGTTCCTATCCATCCGATAAGTGCCTTCTTTTTGCAGACAATTCGCGCCAGAGCCTGGCCTATGGGGATCCGTAGACCTGCACTTGGTGTATTCCGCTTTATCTGAGAAGCATCCACCATGCACCTAAGGCGGCTACACAACCCACTGCACATCCCCTTCTCACTCTTGGGACTCTGAGGACCACTCTCCCCCCTCCTTGATAGACCAACAGTCGATGTTGCGGTCAGTAAGCGCTATTGGCCGCATCAACGTCCACACCAGCAGCCATGTAACCCTCTTTGCCCTCTCACAGGTCGGGGGCCGCTAGTTTGCTGACTGGCTGGCTCCCGAAGGCGTCCCTACGAAGCTTGATGATCAATTGGGCCTGCAAATAGCTTCCCTCTCGCTATATATGCAGTTTATAGGCGAGAAGGAGGAGGGAAGCTGACATTGCGTACATGGCGCCAACTGGTTGGATACCTTCTTCTGCTGAATTGGTAACCTTATACTAAAGCTGGATGGAGCAGTGGCCATCCCCGTGAGGACTATGCATCGTACGCTCACTTACTGCTTCGCCGTAGATCCAGAGATATTAGACATAAAGGATAGGTGGTACAATAATTATTAAGACACTTAGCAACCTAAGTACCACCTACAATAGAACGATTCCCGCCACATTACTTTCGCTAACCGACCAAAGAACGACATGATGTGAAATCTGATTTACATGGTAAAATGTAGAGCAAGAGCAGCCCAAGGATGCCCATTCATTCCCCATGCCACCAGCCCCGGCATTCCCGCTTCAGGTTCTTCGCCCTCGTACTCCATCACAGAATCCTCTCTACAGAGCAAAGAGCAGGGCCAGAGCCGCGCCGATCGAGCCGGAGAAGGGAGTGAGTCCAGATGCCGCGCCGGTGCCGGACTGCTGCGAAGCCGAGTTTGTGGTCGTCGAGGTGCTCCCGGTGGTGGTCGTTGCCGTGTTGGAGGCGCCGGAGGTTGATGCGCTGCCGCTGGCACTGGCGCTGGCCGAGCCGCTGGACGAGGCGCTGGCGCTGCCGGAGGTGGTGGAAGAGCCGGACTTGCACACGACCTCGTCGGGGATGGTCACGGACGCGGTAGAGCAGATCTGCTTAGCGAAGGTGACGGCGGCGCTCTTGCCGGCGGCGTCGCAGTCCTTGTCGAGGCAGCAGGCGATGCCGTCGAGGAACTCGGTGTTGCTGCAGATGCACTTGATGTCGAGCTGGGCGCAGTTGGCGATCTGGGTTCCGGTGGTGTACTGGACGAGACACGATTTCTGTTATCGTCAAAAAAACATGTCATGTTAGCTCGCTGCCCTCGGCATCGCTTCAGTTAGATCGATGGCGAGAAAGGGACCCTTCCTTACAGCGCACTCAGGGACATCCTCAAGCTGGGCAGAGGCAAAGCCCGCGGCAAGGGCCAGGATGATTGGGGTGGCAATGAACTTCATTTTCGCAGGGCAAATCGGCTGGGTAAAATTGAGGATGTTGGACGGTGACGAGAGGTGAAGGGACAGAGGGGGAATGGAGAGCAAGTTGGGACGCGACGATCAGGTCTGGGGCTGACAACTAGCTCCCGGTCCGTCTCATTAATATCTACGTCCTAAAGCTAGTACCTGGGCATGGAGCAATTACGGTAGGCTACTGTAGGATCGAGGGAGGCCGGTAAGTATCTTTCCCAGCCCAGCCATGATATGAATTTATTAGATCCTGTCATCCTGCAGGCAATACTATGGATTGATGGCAGCGTGCCGATGAACCTAAACCCTATTTGGGGCTGACGACTCCACTTCCGAGTGAACCCGGTTAAATTGGCTGCCTAGTCAAGAAGTCAGGTCTTGAAGCGCGCCACTTCAAGAGTCTGTTCAAGGCACGAGACAGGAGAAAAGCGGGCATTAAGGAGCAGCCCCAGACTCAGATTGGTGCTAGTCCCCAGCTCCACACCAAAGTTTTTGGCCCAGGCAGCCCAGTGAAACTAACAATTGCCCCGGGAACCCTCGGCATCGCAGTGTAGAGCAAGCCGGAGCTCTGTATGTGAATGTTCGTGTGTGCATGGTTTGCTTGTTTGTTGCCCTGCTATTTACCTTTGGGCTGTTATGTGTGTGAGACTATGCGGTTGGTGGACGTATTACCTGGCTACCACCCCAAATGGAACCCCTCCCAACATTCCCTGCCTGCAGGGAATCGCTTCTGTATGTAGAACTCCTCCTCCGAACCGCTGGTTGTGAACCAACTTGAGCGCAGGTGTGTAGCATCGAAATCCTCAGACCTCCAATAGGTTGCTTCCACCCTCCAGCTCGAAATTTGCCCCCTGTTTCAAGATTGGCCATCTCGATCTTCACTGCCAGCAAGGTTCACACTCTTTTCCCTTGCTTTAGAAGATCCGATACTTTTGGCGGCAGCACCAATGCACCCCTGTCGTTTCGACGAAAGAAGTCTACCAATGATACTGCTGTCTTCTCGGGCAGGTCCTCGTGGATGAAATGGCCTGCCTCAGGAAACACCTGAAGTGCATACTTGCCTGGGAGAATGATGACTAGTATTAGCATTTGACGATTGCAGACGGGGAGCTCATAAAGTATGTTCCCGAAGATACCGGGAGGGTTTCTTACCTTGCATTTGGCCGATTGTCAATTCCGTATCAAGCCGATCGGTGCCCGCTAGAAGAAGTAGTTTACCTCCCTTGGCCCCAAGAAACTTTTTGCTGAGCCCAACGAACCAATCCTCCCAGAATGGTTGTGATGCTGCGAGGTTGGTCCTCCATTTCCAGGGCCTGGTGTCGTTCTCTTGCCGGTTTTCTGGCAATACCAGAAGAGCCGGTACAGAAGTACGAGCCGAGATGGAGTTCCTTATTGTTCGGGACCTCACGTGCCACTCGATTCCAGCCTCCAAGGAGACGAAGCCCCCAGGCCGTGTTGAAAGATAAGTCTGCATGCTTTGCAGGGCATCCATTGCCGAGCCCTCGACCACATCAAGAACTGCATAGCCCAGTAGAGAAGTTCCCAGCTTACCTGATTTCGCCAGTTCCGTGACGACAGCGCCGCCCAGTGAATGCCCAACCAGCATGATAGGAGGTAGTTCTTGCCATCTCATCTCGGATTTAGTTAATTCAATAGCTGTATGGAGGTCTGAGGAGAGTGTTTCAAGACGGAGATCCAGGTCTGGGCCTTCGGGAGCCGTAGTTGAACCATGGCCTCGACAATCAATTGCCAAAATCCCCGCTGACGGTAGCCTCTTCCTTATTTCTGAGCTCACCACCGCGAATGAGAGCCCTGAGGATCCGGCCCCGTGGTGCATGACAAACAGCGGTCCCTTTTCCACCGGTGAGCTCAGATATGCATGGTAGACTATCCCGGGATTTTCTGGCTGGCGAAGGTAGAGCTCTCTTTCAAAATACGTTGTCCAGGGTATTTGTTCAAGGGTCCTACCCCGTGCGAAACTGTGCCTCTCTCTTCAGCCTCTCAAGCTACTAGTGGTATCAATATTATTTCAGATTGGTGTCGAACTCACCTCTGAGGTCTGGCGAAAAGCTTCTGATTGGGCGATGGGATGATGGTTCCCGTTGATGAAACCGAAGAGGCAGAGGACGAATCATCGTCCATTTGATCTGGAAGATCGCCCAACTGGTCAGACTCCTGGTATTCATCTTCCTCAATGAAAACGTCTTGGGGGAATCCCACTTTCTGCCTTGCCCAGGCACGTTGTAGCTCGCTCATTTCAGGGGTTCTGGTATGGAGGTAAAAGAAACTTAGAAATGCGCTTTGGCTCAGTCCATTTCAGGCCTGCAGTGTCTGGCTTATCGGCGGAACGTAGGAAGTGGCTCAGTTAACCCCGCGTAACCACTGAATGTCCAGTTTGACCTTTACAAATGGCCTGCATGGGAAGGTGGAAGGAGATCAAAGAAACCTGCGTCCTCCCTCCTGGTGTCAGTCCGTCAATCAACCATATACAAACGGCCAGGTGCAATGGGTAGGATGTTGTTGGGTGACAATGCGGCCTAGGTTAGGTGCCGGTCTTGGGTGCGCTGGTCTGATAGGGGAATCAACCCCACATAGAATTTTCAATGGATCTCGCTATCTATTCCACAATGGCAGTCACGCTACAGTATTGGGTATTCGTATGATCTCCTGCGGCACGGCATCAATGTTGGATCGATTCGGCAGCCTCCAGCTACCGACGAGAATAGATATGTATTAGTCAGTGGCCAGTGAACTTGACCCAATTGTGACAAAGTCAGCGAGCCCCCAAACCGAGGCTGCCTCGTCATGCCGCCATGCTGCCTAATGCAGGGACTGGCGGTTAGATGGCACTGCCCTTTACTTCATGACGTTGAAATAGTGGCAACGAAGGATATTCCATGACCGGGAATCCATTGCAAATGATCAAAAAGTTTTAGGGAAAAAAATGACGTAGGATAGGGCTGTCCCTCTTCCATCTCCTTCCTCATTTACTCACGCACAGCATTTGATTGGCGGTGATCGCATCTCCTACCGCCAATCGGCTATCGGAAGACCTGGCATCTATAGAGGGAGCAGAAGTCGTGAGAACTTGCCTAACACACCAAGCCACCTAGGTAATGCAATAGAGATCTGGGCCCGACTCTTCCAGAGAATGGGGGGGACAATAGACCTACACCATTTCACCAGTGTCGACCAGCACAGAGGATATCATTGCAGACTCAGCTTTGTGCTCGTGATCCCTTTTCATTTCAGGAAGGCATCTTGCACCGTGCATTTATGAGTCTTAGTTCCTCGGGAACCGAGACAATTTTCTCGAACAATCGAGAGCTTCGGACCAAAGACAACCATCTGCCATTTATTTGGCCGCTTAAGATACCCGTGCACAAAGGAAACAGTAAGTGTAATTAAAACTGGACATATCGCCAAGTTGAAGATATGTCAGAATTGACGAGGCGGTCATCGACCAAACGAGAATGGGTGGAGCGTTAGCCATGAGATGATGTCTTGGTTTTATTGAATATAATGGACACTCGTGTGCTTCATTTGACTCAGCCATGATTTTTTCCCTTGTGTCAACTCCCCGCACCGCCCAAAGGCGGCAGAGATGCTCGCACGACGTGGACACAATTTCAAGATGGGCCAATCGGTAGGCATGCGGCTTGTCATGTCTCTTGTGCATATATAGGCAGTTGTAGCTCGAGACATTTGCCACGCAACTACATAAGACCCACGCAGCGATACTACTCTCTGAGCAGGAAGAGGTGGTTGTCTTGGTTGTAAACCCACCCCATGGGAGACGAATGCCAACCTCCACGTTTCAATGAAGTGCTTGGATCCTTGGCCACGACAACATACTCTTGCATGAACAAACTCCTGGTCATGCAGCTGAGCGACTTGATTGGTCTCAAGTGGATTGATAGAGGGCGTTTTTTATTGTCTTTCATGTAGGTAGGTGTGTTGGGTGGGAACGGATAGCGGCTCATCCGTGACAAGCTTGGGCACCTGTTGCTTTGAAATACAGACAAGCAGCTCCGGCAGCTTGGCAGCGTCATTGGGTTAGCTCCGTCTGCGGTTTCAAACAGCTTGTTCCAGCCGCAGTAATGATTGGCTAGTGACGAGGGTGCCGAAACCAAAGGAGCGATTGTTCCTCCTGGCTAGGAGGCTGAGCGGGATACCTACCCAGGTCAGCCGGAATCCTCTGGGTATGCCGCCAAACCAGAGCCCCCTGCGAAACCCCGCGAACTATGGGGGCCGATGTGATGGTATGCAGACCAAGGTTGAGAATCCATGCCGGCGAATTCCACCTGTCAAACAAGGTGTCCGTTGGCGCGGCCGCCTTCATGAGAACGGCAGGAGACTCTGTTGGAAGGTGCCGAACAAGACCTGCAATTACTTATCTGACCTTCTCAATGAGCTGGCCAGTCCACCAAACTGCCCCACAAGGAACAGAGGCGCCGCTCCAGCTGCACATGGCCGTTCTTTCTTGTGACGTATAGCACTTCCTCCATCATGCGCTACGGAGCATTTGGCGTCTCTTTCTGTCAAGTTACACGAGGAAAAAGTGATGCATGATCGACGTTAGCTGTTCGGTCGCTCATAGCCGACGGGACCTCTTGAACCCTGCAACAAACCCCTGTGACTCCACAGTGCGATGGAGTTGTCTTCTCCGCCAGTGGGCTCAACAAAACAAAATAGAAATCACACCCAGAGCAACTTCTATTGCCGGCACACAGAGGCCCAATGGGTCAGAAAGATCGGGCTCCCCATTGGAAAGAACCGGAAGCATGCCTGCATAGAGTATGTGACGTTCACATCCCTGGCAGGGGAAAAAACTCATCGCCATCCGAGGCATCGGGTAGGTGGTTTCCATGGGACGCACGGACATACCGAAGGAATTGTAACAAGATGCCTCATCCGCGCACAATTCTCGGGACGCAGGAGCTCATTGAAACGGAGAGGCCGTTTGTAGCCAGACTGGAAGGTTCTTTGCT